CAAAAATTGAAATACATGACCGGGCTATAAAATTACTATTAATAAGTGCTATGCTTTTGCGTCAAAAAATATTTGTTCATTTGCGCTATACTTCATTAGCGCCAGAATAATACAGGAAAAATAGTATAAATAGTAGATCTATATTGAAAAGAGAATATTGTCAACATAGTTTTGTTGTGTACTTTAACTCCGTTGTTTAATACATTTGATATCATAAATGTGAGGTCTTAAATCATTACAGACGTATTTCCTCCTTTATTTGACTACGAATGCATCATGTCCATTTTGTTACCTTAACCGTGTGAACAATAAACAATTTGATACATTTAAGTGACCACCAGTTTTGTATGAAAAATGAGTATGAACTCGCCTTCTTACAAAATTGGGGGATACAAAATTTCTTATATGATAAAATTGAGAATGATAATGGGGAAAGTGTCAAAGAGACAACAACCCGACCAAAAAGCGGAAAACGAGCCTTTTTGTATTCAGGATACAACGTATGTGTAAACTTTTCCGTTTAATTTACCTGTTAATTAGCGCAAAAGCAGTATTTATATTTGGCGTGCAAAAAATACAACCCTGTGGGGTAAATGAGATACTGTATTTTTCAAAACTCGTCGCAATTGCTTTCAAGATTTAATTTGATATCTGTTATTCTATTTCATTTTATTTTAGTTTGACGATTATTCGTACCTTTACCGCCACTCCATAAGTCTTATAACTAGAAAATTTTAAATCTTTGTTAAAATTTTACAAAATATGATTGATACGGACTATTTTCATGTTCTACATTTGTTAATTTTGTAACATATGCATGTGTTGACAAAATAATCCACACAAAGTCGAATGAAGACAAAACTAACACGATAATACAGAAAATGTCCCTGTCAGGACTCCAATTAAAAACTGCTAATTTGTACAAAATGAATGTATCAAAAATTATATGTAGCTCATGGTGATTATAGAAAACAATAATTTCAGATAAAAAAAAATTTTCTATATGTATATAGATATAAGAAGATGAGGTATGAGTGGCAATGAGACAACTCTCCATCCAAGTCACAATTTATAAAAGTAAACCATTATAGGTCAAAGTACGGCCTTCAACACGGAGCCTTGGCTCACACTGAACAGCAAGCTATAAAGGGCCCCCAAAAAATTACTAGTGTAAAATCATTCAAACGGGAAATCCAACGGTCTAATCTATATAAAAAACGAGAAACAAGAAACATTTATGAACCACATCAACAAACGACAACTACTGAACATCAGATTCCTGACTTAGGATAGGTGCAAACAATTGCAGCGGGTTTAAACGTTTTAATGGTACCAAACCTTCACCCTTATCTGAAACAATAGTGTAACATCACAACATAGAAAGACACACGTCTTCTTATTTCAAAAAGTTCACCAAGTCCTTTTTTTATAATCGATAACCATATTTTGTTTTCACATAGAGCAAAATATATATGCATTTTACTAAGAATGTTGTAAAGGCTAAAACATTTAATTTGATGAATACATATTGTTCGATTCCATATATATGATATTATTGCGTATACTTTAACAATAAATAAAATTCCCCAAATTACAAGAATCGGTAGATTTTTATATTTTACAGTATCCATATCTAAACTTAAAACAAAATCAATGATGTCAAAAAAGTATATAGTCAATGATCATTGTTAAAAACAAACTTGTAGAGTTTGTTCGTTGCAAAAAAATTATAAAGTCTCTATTATTCAATTGTAAGGTATGAAACTAAACCATGTCAGTTCAACTCACTGCTTTTAAAAAGAGTCTTTTTATTATTAATGGTAATGCCCCACTGGTTTGATAAATACTAACATTGATTTGTAATCTTGAACACCCATAAAGATATAGATAATTCCTCTTATCTTTTAAAACGAATTGTAATAATAGTTTGAATTTCTTTTCTGTTAATCAGCAAATAATTATGTTCGTTTTTGTATGCGACGACATGCGACATCTTTTCTTTCTCTAAAACAAAATTGTTAGATCTCTGGTTGTTCTTGATTAAATAATTCATACATTGTATTGACTCAGAACGATTTTAAGCTCGACATATTGTATGGACGCATGTTTATAGTTACTGTTGTAGACTGTATATAGCCCTCGGTATGTCATTTGGTCTTTTTAGTTGTCTGATTGCTATCCCGTTGACGTTTATCCCACATTTTGTCCACATTATAAAGAAGAAGAGAGTTCCCTGTCGTCTCCAAACGATAATTAAGATAGCTGAAAAAGCAAAGTCAATGTTTTATTATGGAAATCTCCTCAGAACAGCTTTGAGCGTTCCTGTTGAAGGTAAATCCAGAAACGCGCTTCAGACGCATCAAATTTATAACGTGTTGTTTTCATTTTATAAAGCACAGGTTCGATACCTCTGCTGGTGGACTATAATTCCTCGAAAGTATCACCAGCTCAGTAGTCAGTAATTCGGTACTGACATAATTTATAACGAACCCTTCGAAAATTGTTCGTACATCCGAACATAAATTTTGAAATTATAAAAAAACTAAGGTTTCAACTCACTCAGGCATGGTTGACCTTAGATGGACTTTTGCTTTTTTAAGGTTCTTTTTGGTCATACAGCTCTTCAACTGTTTCGGTTCTTATACATTCTTGACCTTCAAATATTCGACTCTGAGCGTTCCTGGTGAAGGTAAATCCAGAAAAGCGCTTCGGACTAATGAAATAAATAATGTGCTGTTTTCATTTTTTAAATGAAATCAAAGTTGAAGGATACAAAGCTTTATGTCAATTTGTGCAAGTTTAGGTAGATTGGATGTCTTCCTCTATCTTCGATTGTAAAATAATAGAAACCAAAAGAAGAATGTATTTCATTTGTAAGACTTTTCATCTTAAGGTGGTAAATAACACTACAGGGAGATATGTAAAAATCATCTGAACGTTTTAATCACTTTCTATTGTTAAGAAAATATTAAGCTTCTTAATTATCAAAATTAGTATTTGTCAAACTGCTATATATCCAATGAAATTTTTCCGATAAAGTTGGTGGTTCAAGTTTTTTGAAATTTTTATATTTTTGTCAAAGGTTCAAAGTAAATGTTTGTCCAAATTTTATCAAAATTATACGAGTCAAATTGATTTTAGTCAAGGTGTTTGGTACCACCTTAATGAAGAAAATAATGGGTTTATCATTGTCTTTTAGACTTTTTTGTATTACTATAACCGAATATATTGTGTTTGATTCAATTCTTTCAGCTTCGTCATATAAAGGAAGATAACTCAGATAATGTAACTTTTATAAATTACCTATGTTGTTTGGAAGCAGGAAAACAAGTCCCGTGACCCCAATTTTTCTTTTTCTTTTCTGAAATCACATTATAAGAGCTATCTTCTCAGATTTTATCTTCAAAATTCTATCGTTTAGTTTTCTTTTTTTCACGAATAATTATAGATATTCCTTGCAAAATCTATACAAAATTTGACAATTTTGCAAAACATACTCTACTTTAATGTAACAAGCTTTTTTTTTTACGTTAGAACTATTCTTTTTTCACTGCCTATTAATTTTCTAAATGTTTGAGAGATTATGCACTTGACAAAGGATGCATAAATACATTTTCTCCAATATACAGACTTGTCAATATAATTTGTGATGTACCTCTTTTCCGTCTTTTTAAACCAGTAAGATTGGAACCTTTACATGAGGAAAAGAGAAAATTTCTTCCTGCTTACTTTATCAATAGAGGAATTGATGCAATCAACATCAGCAACGTTCCACATCACAAGAAGGTACATTGTAACATCTAAAATTCCTATTAATTTTCAAAATCAGTCTGTTCCTATTGTATCCTACAGTTACACCAAAACCATTGCACCCAAACTATTTAACTATAAACAAGCATTGCAGGACCTTGATTTAGAACAATACCTAAAAAATCGAAAATCGACATTGCACGAAACATCAATGTGTTTCTATAATTGATAGATAAACAGGAAGTATTCTTATGATTACAGTTTCAAACATCTTTTTTGCGTACATGCACACGTATACAATATTAAAGTCATACAAACTATAATTCAGAAGGTATATTCAGAAACCAACGACTTTTTGAAATTAATTGTTTTACGTTGGAAACCATTTTGATCATATTTTCAGCTTTGAAATTTTAACTTTTGTTACCTGCTTTTTCTAATATTTTGTTACTCTTCTTTTTTTTACCTTGGCACATCATAAAATACAGCTTTATGTTTTTTATAACATCATTTAGATAAAAACCAAAGTACACTGCGAAATTTTTTTTTCAAATTGTAGATACTTATAGTCGTATTAATGCATTTCGATTCCATGCCATGCGAATTCATCCCAAGACAGTTTTGTCAATTTGATTACATTTGATAACTTAATTTTAAAAAAATTGCATAAATAACTATAAATTGAAGCAGAAATATTTTTTCGATTTTCCATAGAAAGGGATGCGATTATTTCATGTTTTCGTATAATGAAATATCAAAGACGAAAACACGAAAAGGTAGCCAAAATAAAACTGGCAAATTAAGCTAATATTAATTTTGATGGTTCTGCAGAAAAAATTGAATATGGATCAGCGATTACTATATGTGGACTATTTTATTTAGCTTTTAAATTTGAAGACTATATTACTGTCATTAATAAATATGTATATAACAATTAGCGCGTTGGTACGCATGCACTTATCCGATATAGAACAATCTCAAGGAGAACTGTCTAGCTATTTTATCTTAAAAACTATCAACCTTTTAAGATCGTTCACATTTATTGCAAATCATTTCCACCCGTGATACTATTATTTTACTCAAAGTTTACAATAATTTCTTATACTACATTCATGAATTTGTTAATGATATTAATTTATATTTATTATTTTGGCAACCATAATTTAAAATCTACCAGTTGGTCTTGTTTCAACGTAATAAGTTGGTGTTATCATTAATCGACTATTAAGTAATAACCTTTGCCAGATAAAAATATTTAAATTCAGACCTGCTCTGTTATTATCCTGTGACAAGAATGGTAAGTTTATTTCATTTTAATCATGAATGCAGATTTAAGTGAATTTTGTAATGAGACTTAATGGAAACCTGTTAGACATGGTATTGTTTTTGTTTACCTTTTTAAATTTTTGTCATTTATGGTCACGTTTCTAATATTCTGCAGAAGACATCACATACATGTCGAATTGATTCAAAATATTAGATCAACATTTCGTTACATTCAGAAATGATCAAATTTTAAATATTATATAAAGCTGAATAAAATCATGTATATGACATTTAAAACTCATATTGCTATTGAATGGAACCTTCATAAAAATAATGACTATATAATTATTTTTTTTTCATAAAACGTAAGGGGAGTAAAGTCAAAGCCCTTTGCATAAGTTTAAATTCAAATAAATATCTCTTGCAGTTTTTTTTAACTATACAATGTTGTCTTTAAAATATGCCAGAATGTTTTTCTTAAATTTGCAAATGACTTTAATTCACTGGTTTATTATTACCTGTGGTTTTTTTTTTAATATATGTTTTTCTTTTTCTGTATATCATGTATATCGTTGTTTACGTTTTCATTTCATTTACTTCATAGATGTGATTAAGGATATATATATATCGCTTAATTGTGCACGTCGGAAGATCATTAGCAAAGTCTTCCTGTACGGTTTCGAATCCTTACTTCTTTTTCGATAGGTTGGGTTCATCACCCAATACGGATATACAAATATACTTGTTCTTCTTATATTTTGTAAACCTTCTGTTTTACCTAGGCATTTGTAAGTCATTGCATACAGCTTTATATTTCTAATCAGCATCATTTAGATAAAAAATTAAAGTACATTTGAATTTTTTTAAATGGTGGATAATACATGTAATAATAGAAGTGTTAATGCATTTCCATTCCATGTCCTGCGAATTTATCCAAAGACAGTTGCACAAATAAATATAAATTGAAGAAGATATTACTTTTTTTTCGATTTAACCTAGGAAGGCCTGCGATTATTCCGTTTGAGAGGCCATTCCTACTGTTGCTAGACGCGGTCTTTTCGATTTTTTATGATTTCGCGTTTTCGTATAATGAAATATCAATGGCGAAAACGCGAACAGGCCGCAACCACCCATAATAGGACAGGCATGTGAAGCTGAACTTAACCTTGATGGTTGACAAATGTCATACCTTATAAAGGGTACATTTCACCAATGTTGAGAAAAAAGTAGAATATGAATTAGCGATTTTAATTCGTGGACTATTTCATGTAGTTGTTTAATTTCAAAGACTATATATCTGTTAATCATAAATATATGATCTGTTGTAATGTAAAAATTAGCGCCTTGGTAAACATGTACTTATCTGATATAGAACAATCTTAATGTGAACTATATAGATATTTTATCAATCAATCTATTCAAAATCGTTCATAACAATCCATAAGTCTTTTTTTATATTAAGTTTAGAAAAATTTAAACGTTTGTATACCACATTTTTTGCTTGTATTCATGAATTGGTAAACATCACGACATCAACTATATAATTCTGGATTCGGCAATCATAATTTGATATCAAAATCTATCAACGTTTTTTTTGTCTTTAAACGTAATTTAGCGTATTTACCTGACGATATCGAGATATGGATATTTAGTTAAATCTTAATAGGAAGTTATGATAATATCAAAGAAAATCTTAGTCTTTGTCTGACACTGCCGACTGTGGCATTTTCTAAGTCTAATCATATACAAATAAATAAAATAAATAAAGTAAATAATTACTTTATATTTAAAACATTGATAGGCACGGACATTAAGAAAACAAATATTAATGGACCGAAACGACCAAGTCCGAACGGGTTTATGGCCGAAACGTTTCGAAAGCAAAAAAACAACACGGATAAGAAAAAAAAAAACAATGTCAAAATGTTCAGGCTTTAAATTCATCTTTATTTGGGTAAGTTGATGCAACCATACGATCTGTACTGTGTCTTATACTGTTAGAGGCAAATAATGTGCAACGACTATATATTATGTTAATGTGTAAACACATTAATTATGAGCTATGGTAGTAGTTTTTCCAATTACAAGGGCTTAGTTAGAAAAATCTACTAAATTGAATGTTATTCAATATTATGAAGTTTTATGATAATATATAAACGTGCTACGTAATTAGTATTGATATCAAAAATCGACTTATTTTCAAACAAAAATGATTGGATTCGGACCTGTTGTGCTTTTATCCAGATACTAAAATAATAAGTCTATTTTTTTTTAAATAAGGCTGCCGATTCAAAATAAATTTAATTATGAGACTCAATGGAAATTTAGATATGTTATTTTTTTGTCATACTAGTACTAGGTCTCATTTCGAACACTCTGCACAAGAAATCACATATAGGTCGAATTGATTTTAGATATTAGGTCAACATTTACTGACCATACAGGATGTTTCAATTACAACAATAATATCAAACTGAATGAAAATCATTTATATGACATTTAAAACTCATAAGTCTATAGATAAACAGCTTTATGAAAGTGATGATTATATAATTTAAAAAAAACATAAATAGTAAGACGAGTAAAGTCAAAGCCCATTGAATAATGTTGAATTTAAATAAACACCTCTTGCAGTTTGTTCACTAAGCATTGTAGATGTACTGAAAATATGTCAGGAGCTTTCGCAAATTTGGAAATGACTTTAATTCATTGATTTACAAGTAACTTCGTTTTTTTTAAATATTTTTATGGGTTTTTTCATCAATTTTGTCTTTTATATTTGTATTTCAATTACTTCATAGATGTGAGTTAGGAAATACATCTTGAAAGAACATAAAGTTGTAACTTTGAACCCATGTAGTACACTTATGTTAAAAACAAAAAATATCCATTTCAAACTAAACCAGGACATAGAATAGAAAAAAAGAAAGAAAACACGATTTTAAAGAAAAGATTTTTTATTAATATAATACATTCAGTCTTAAGAAAAAAGTGACTTGTCGAAAAAATTGCTACTATGCCAAAAAAAAGGATGAAGTTCGGTGAGGGCCATATTTAGCCCCAGATATTAGGTTCAACGTTTCAAGATAAAAAAGGGTTTTAGCTGATGACGAAAAGACATGTGAGAAAGTTTAATAGAAATGTTTTTGTCAAAGTTTTATTTTAAAGCGTTGATGTTAACATGCAAAATAGACACAAAAAAAAAAAGAAGATTTTTACCAATTTTGACAAAATTTACCGGATTTCAACCAAATTAAGGCATAGGAAACATAGAGCACAGGCGTTGATAAACTAAATATTAAAGTCAGATATGTAAAATGTTATAACAAACATTATGTGAAAAGATCTTTTTGTCGACGCATGCGCTCTATGCTTTCTGTCAAAAACATCAATGGAAACTTACCCGTTTTCATTAAATTTTCGTGGAAAATCAAAATGAGTGCTAATTGTGACGTCATGAAAATAACGAACGTACGTAAATTTTCAACAAAAACATGTTTCCTATCTAGTTCTTGTATTGGCTTTTATATAATGTGACATTGGTCAATATATCGATCCTAATTTGAAATTTAAATTGTTGCTAGAAACGGGCCATGTTAGGGCCTTACCGGACCTACGTTTTTATGTCAGCTTGACTTGGTCATGTAAATGTTTAATTCACCAGACAAAGTTCATTTTATGGTAAACTAAGATTTTGAGAATTTTGGAACGCTTGAGTCTTGTACTGGTTATTTGGGGTTTTTAAAATATAAATGTGCTGCTTGATACAACTGGTTTGATTGACTGCGAAAAGAGGTCAATCTATTGTTAGTTATTATCGACAAGAGCAACTCCTTGTTCTTTCGCAATGAATTGTTATTAAAATAAAAAGTGTAAAATCACGTCGTTCAAAGTAATATAGAATAATTTTTAACTTTTTATTAGAATTATTGCATTTTTTACAGACAGAAGAAAACGTTCTTCTAACTATTTCTGAGAATCCTGGAATGATTCAACAGCAAGAATTTGAAAAGTATTTTGTAAATTTAAATCGAGATGAATGGAAGCCATTGACAGAAAAGATTGATTCTATGTCAGCCGATTTAAAGAAGGAGTTGAAAGCTTTGTTGACAGATCAAAATGAAGAATCTCTTTACTCTGAGTGTGAAAAACTTTCAAATGATATAGTTATAGCAGCTAGTTTCCTCTCTGGTTTTGGAAACACTGTTAAAATAGAGGATATAAATGCTCTTTCTTCAAATATACCAATGAATATAGGTGCTTCGGTACTTGAAATTCTTGTTATTCGAACCACAGAACTTTTAAGCAAGAAGTTTACGAATTTTTCAGACAAATGTCGTGATTACGAAAGGCTTATGTTATTTGTCGAGATTTATTGTAGATTTTCTTCTTTGAAAAATGTCCTTTTTCTTTATTATTATGCATCTTTGTTTGATAGTTTGATATCCCAAAATATTCGACTGGGCATACTTCGAGTCATTAGTGCCCAAATAGATAGAAACAAATCCCTTTTAGAGTTTCTATGGAAACCAAATACATCTACCGCTATTTTCCATTTTATCGGAAATATTTCTGATAGGGAATTTGTGAAAAGTTTTTTAATTGATCATCACATGGAATTAGATGAGCTAAATCATCTCTCAACGGGCACATATCGATTTAGACCCCTTTCCTATTCCGACGGATTTGTTTATATGGCAGATTTACCCAGAGGATTAAAGTTCGTGAGATGGTCAAGATCAGTGAATGTTGAACAAACAAGATTTACTTTTAGAAAAAGCAAAGAACATGGAAAGAACAATTTCTTTATCCTTTCGAAAAGGGAACCCGATTTCAAAGTCAGAAAAATTACTACAGGATTATGGGTCGAAGGTTCATCAACCGACAAAAGTGATATGAATTGCGTGTGGAAAATTATTCCAGTGAAGTCGAATATTTCAGAAGGCCAAGGTTTTTATATTGCATCCATGAAAAATTCCTTTCTTTCAGCAGGATCCGGTGGTAGAATATATGTACGAGGTTTTATGAAAGAGGACCATAGAAACTATCTATGGAGTATTGAGAATGTGTAATACTTTTGTTAAATTTAGCAGCTTGACAGTTTTCTGTTTAAAAATCTAGATTTTGTCGGAAAGAACTAACTTCTTGTCCATGTTGTCATGAGTTGTTGTCAGTTTTCTTATACCATTATGTTTAAAAAAAAATTTAAAAAAGAGTTACATTGTAATTAACATGATAAACATTGTTGTTTGTTAATGTCTTATAGATCTGATGTTTGCCAGTTTTTCGTGCTTTTTTTTTAAATGAAAACTAAACCAAAATCTTGAAATTCTACCACTGTGATCTTTCAGTAGAATTTTTTGTAAATTGAATATGATGCAGACATAATGATACATTTGAATACAGATTTAATGACCATTCTGGAGCACTTGAGATCACCCTCGGTTTTTAGTTGTGTTTTGTAAACTGTTGGTTGTTTTTTGGTCTTTGCCATGGCGTTGTCAGACTATTTTTGACTTATGAGTTTGAATGTCATTTTGGCTTTGGTATCTCTCGCCTCTCTTTTTAGCTTTTTAAGCATAGATTGAGACAAGTTTTAGCTGTTTTTGGCTTTTCAATATACAGTCTTTTTGTATTCGATGTTCTTAATTGTTTTATCAATTTGACTTCAGAGCTTTTTTGAAACGAGCATGAATGACTGGACATTTGTCTATATACGTTAGCACTGAGTTTTGATTTTCTTTATTGACATATTTTTTTTTGTTTTTGTAGTGATTAAGATTATTACAAAATGTTGACTGCTGTATCCCTATTTTTTTACCTATTACGTTCCTTTGTTTTGTTCACACATTGTTGTCAATATAATGGAATTCTATGCGACTGTCATACAGGTAAAAGGTTAAGTTGGCTATAAAACCAGGTTTAATCCACAATTTTCTACAAAAGGAAATGCCTGTACCAAGTCAGGAATATGACAGTTGTTTTCCATTCGTTTGATGTGTTTGAGCTTTTTATTTTGCTATTTGAATTTTCCGTGGAGTTCGGTTTTTTTGTTAATTTACTTTTTATTACTGCGTTTAAAAAATCATCGCATTAAATGCAATCAAGTCAATAATGCTACCGCGCTTCATACAAAATGTGCTTCGGTCAACACTTTTGTACCCCAATAAAATAACAGAAAGAAGCATTCATTTCTTAAATAAAATTCGTTATAAGCAGCGATGTCAAGAATGTTATTATTGAAAGTGAAAGAAGGGTTTTCCATTTCGTTGAAAGGTCCTTTCCACAAACAAATCCTTCTTATACAGGTAAAAAAAGATGATTAACATTTTTTCAATCTATTACATGAAATCAAACAGACATTGGCAAATCCAATTGCACGTACCATTAATATTTCTATTTCGATTTTTTTTTCCATATCGAATTATATGACCGTCGGCAGTCGTCAGATGTCGTCAGATGTAATAGTTAATTATATGGCGTGTAAACTAAAGTACACATAAAAACGATAATACATGTTATACATGTTATTGAGCCTATGCATTGGTAACTGTTTATTATAATTTTTTTGTAATTAGAATATACATTTTAGTATGTTATGAATCAAACATGAGAATTGAGTCAAATTGGTGAAAAACATGAACTTGACAGCGAATGTTCATTAAACGGCGAACTGACTATCGTAGCTACTGAGAGCAACCTCGTTTTTCTTATATAACCAATATATTTAAATCCAAAATTATAGACGTGTTACGAAAAGGTATTTAGTTGACGCTGATGTTGACAAATTAGACTTTAAATGTTGGAACTGTGTCAAAACATTGATTATCGATTAAAACAGGTAAAAGTTGAGTGATGTTAATCAGGTATCCTACACACTTCTTGGTTCATTAAACATTATACAAATTTAGAATAATCATTTTCTGATATCATTGCTTGTGATAATAGAATGGGAAAGGTGTACGTGTTTTGCCGGGGAGGGTGATGGTTTTTCTATGCACTTCTGAACTTGAACAAAATCAAATAATAAGCCAGTTTACTTTTTTTACTTTATTAAATACGATATCAAGTTGTCACTCCACAACTGAACCTCGTCCTGAAAATCATCCCATATTTGTCACTGGACGAAACACAAAGAACATTTAATAAATCTTGGCAAAACCCGCACACAAGTTCTACAGTCATGTTGACTTTTTTCAGATATCTCCAAAAGCTTCCACTGACTTTGAAAGTTTTTAAGCGCCTAATAGATATTTCCAATACAATGACATTACTCGACATAACCAACATATCTGACCGTATTTCAGCCTATTGAAGTGAAGGACGACAGAGGGGAGCATAGACTGCTTGAAACTTTGGCTCGTTGAATACACATACTTGATGGAATAGATGCTATTTAAAAATTAGGACAAACTGCTATTTTAATTCTTTACGTATTTTGTTTTTAAATTTGGGATGTTTTCTAAGACAACAACATTTAAATGGAATATTTAGTTCAGTTACCGGTAATCAAATGCACCGATCACTTACTTCGTCATTTCACTTGACTCATATATATATATATGTCTCCCAAACGATAAAATCATAAAGCTACTTAATCAAAATTCAGTTTGAAAAAAAAATAATGGAATCTGAAGCGATATCATATTCTCTTTTTTGATTTAAAAGTTATAAAATTAAACAAGACTTTCAAACACGCCAAAAGGTAAAAGGTGTACACGACTTGCTTTTTTCTGCTTTTTTTTGCATACTTCTATATTTTATTTCAAGATATTTTTGCCAAAGATAAAATTCAGATCACTGATGCATCTTTCTGATAGTACTTTGTCGACTTTCCGTAGAATTTTATCAAAAAGAATTTATGAGGACGCATCCTAAAAAAAAAATATATGACAACACTCATTTGTTATATATATCTTGTCTTTAATTATAATGATACATGGATTATAAGTCATTGACCTTAATTTTTTTTCTAAAATGCTTGGCGTTTAACTTATACAAATTCATATGAAAAACGGACATGAACGGAATATTTGCTTGAAGTAGGATGATAATTTTAGCTATATGATCAATTTATGAATGTAAATGGATATTATATCTACTGGTCTGTGCATCTGTCTGTTCTTCGGTTTTGATCAAAATATAAAACGTTAAAAATAAATATACCAAATTAGAGTTTGGCCCGGATTAAATGGTGCACTGAATATGGAAATATGATCATGTGAAGGGGCACGGTGTCTTTAGGCCACACATTCTTGTTGCAAATGTTTAAATTAATACACGTAAATGAATATGTATCTTCCATATTCATATTTGTATGTTTTATCGCGCGCTCGCCTCGACAGTATAAAACCCCTCGAATGTGATCGGGGGAATAGAAATATGGTCACTATTGGTCTTGTTCCGATCGGTAGTTTAACCATTGCAAAAGTGGGAAGTCTTTTTGATTTTGTGGGATATACAAGTACGCAGTCCCGTCTGGTCAAAGTGGGGACATTTAATCAGATGCATCTTGTAGAGAGAATGCCATTCTATTTCAACGTTAATTATGCATTGAATATTTGCCACTGGACGTTAAGCAACCAACTATCAATCAATCGACAGTAGCGTAACTTGAATTTTATTTCTGGCAAAGCAAATGATCTGAATCTTGGCAGGCAAAGCCTTGCTTGGTTAAAAGTCGTCAATGCTAATAGGGAGTGGACGGTTAATTGAAAATACGAATAGGAAAACAGGTGTAGGTGATCATAAACTTGATTGATCACACACTGGCAAAATTATCCAGTCTATGAAAAATCCGGATATGTGCAATTCCATCTTGAAATAACATTTCTAGTGCGCATGAAATCAATATATTTCAATGAAACTGCTGTTTAAAAGTTTAATTCTCAGTTTTCTCGTGTTTCTGGTCCTGATCGAAACATAAATAATTGACAGAATTATATTATGGCCTCCTTTATAATGCTTTTGTACAGATTTGGGGATATTAAGTTTAAGATCCACTATGTCTTTTTACTTTATTCGTTTATATTTTGTCAAAATGTATGGATGATAATAACTGGTTGAACTATGAAGTCTTGCTGATATATTCCAATGTAGAAGAGTACTACATAAATTGTAGAAATGCCAAGTGTCTGTTGAAAACTTTGTCCACAAAAAGTTCGTTTTCAAAACGAAAATCAATCATCATATATCAGTTTCCCAGTTATGACCTCTTGTTTGAATAAGTTTTAACGAGGTAAACTTGGTCTTTTACTTATAAAAAGATATTTGCATCTACCGAGTTCATTTAGGAAAGCAAGTTTTCAATACGATAATAATGAGGAATGAGTGATTAAAGAGTAAAGCAGTCAACGTTTTGAACAGTCGTCACTCAGTATGCAATATACTTTTACCTACATGGTATATAGTTGTCTTTATCTTTCTTTTTTATTTTATTCAATTTATATATAAAATTGGTTGTATGCTATGTTGATTTTAATTTGTACTGTGTTTGATCTAATCGACAATGTATTTTATGAAAGACATACATAAAATAGTCTAAGGACATAAAGGGAAAATATGCATTATGTTAGATTATGTAGGTTTTTAGCTCAAATTACATTAACTATAATTATTATGCACAGTTTAAAAACAACAATAGTCAAACGTGTATTTTCTTTTAAAAGAGGTTCTAAGAACATGTTTCGCTCACCAGGATATTTGTGCATCTTATACAATGACCATCTCCAACACTATAGACTTGAACATAATTCGTGACCAAATTTCTTTTTCGTTAATCTTGTATTGCTTATTCACAGTTTTCTCTACGTGCTATAGATTTTGCCTTACACATCAAAAATGAAAAAAAAAATCCTCATATAATGGCAACAATTTCTAATGGAGTCATTCAATTGTATATTGGTAATGCAATTTATTTAGATCTTCTATTGTTGATCATTCTTGGTTTTTACAGACTCTACCTATCTGTCATACTTAGTTTGCGCAAACTTAAAATATTAAAAAAAAAATGTCATTCAATGATAGTTGCTCTTTCAAGGGTGTCAGTCATTTTGTTAATTGTATAGATCTTGTATGGTTGATCAGTTTGGCTGTTTACAGTTTCAACCTATTAATTAAAGTTCTTAAGATAATTGGCAATAACAACCAAACAATTGTCAAAATCTTCATTTACGGGCAAATACTCCTTTTTTAGGGGGTCACCGGAGTTCGGTATTTTTGTTATTTTACTTTATGCATCAAATATGAGAATTTGAGTCCAATCCGTGAACATGAATTTGACAGCTAACTATAAACGGCGAACTGACTATCCTAACAACTATGAGATTCTTCGATAAACTGACACCCCAACATTTTTTTATTTAGTATAAGGAAAAATGTTAAATTTGGTTAAAATATAAAGTAGGTATGTTTGACACTTCAGATTTTTCTAATTGTTTTCAAAATATAAGACAATGACTGCTTATGTTTCAACCATGATTTTAGACTGACCGAGAAAAAAAGAAATGTATACTCAAACCCCAAGAAACATTTATCCATTATAGTATCCATTAAAATGCAAAAATATGTAAAAATCATCTTTAAATAACAATAAGGTCCTATAAGGGACCAATTAATTACTTCTATCATGTTGACTTATTGTTCTCATTTTCCTGTTTCAAATTTCTCTCTTTTTATTATTCATTTTAGTGTTCAGGATAATAACCAAAAACTTCGAAATTTGAAAAAAATACATTTCAGGGGATATAAGTCTATACAAGTTTGTCCTATTTAACTGAAAATAATATAGGAATTCGACCTGTTGAACATTGTAATTCTGTCCGTCTTGCTCTTACTGTTATCGTTAACGCAATATATAAGCAAAAAACTGTGAAATCCTATCAAAAATTATACTTAAGTGGCAATGACTGAAAATTGATTGTCCGATTTTTCTGAAAAAAATTTAAAGGAAAAAGTATCCTAGAGATTATTTCTACTTATATCAGTTTTGCTCTAACTGTTTTAGTTTTGAAAATACATGAATAAGCCTTAAACTAAATTGTTACTCCTATCTTCTATTCTTAGCAATAGCAGCTATGATTTTAAATAGATAAAATCTCTGTATACAGAGTTTGAATTAATTATTCCAAAGAACATCCGGTTAAAGTTTGATGACACTTAGTTTAGTAGTTTCAGGCAACAAGATTTTTAAAAAAGATTATAACGACGGACGGACGACGGGCGCCATGTGATCGCAATAGGTGACATGGCCATTTTGGCCTGGTGAGCATAAAAGGCAATATTCCACAATACCTTATTTCTATGATAACATCATCACATCTTGTGTCCTTAAAAGAAGGGTGAAAAAAAAAACAAAAACAAATACGCATCTTAAAGAAACAATATCATGAAACGGCTGACAGACATGACCATCAACTATTGACACTGTTTCAGTACTAATCCATCTAGTAAGTAATAGCCTGAATATTTGACCCATGACAAACAACTAAAAGAATACACCAAACACCATACAACAAATGCATAAAACTAGGACCGTCTAGGCCATGCTCTGTATTTAGAACATTTCTGTGTTGATATCCATCACATGACAGTGTATAAACAGCATTGTGTTTACTTAATACTGTCACAAAATCATAAGACACTGCTATACCTATAGGACTCCGAACGATGTCTGGGGTAATCCACTTCTGGTTTACATATTTATCATAACATGAAATAAGATCTTCGTTTTCATTGGTGATGTAAATTTTACCAGAGGCAACTGCAAATCTTTGACCTGGAATATTCAGAGATCGAATTGTACGGCCATGCGTGTCTGCAATGATTATTCTACTATTATTTGGACAGCCGATAAACAAATTAGTACCGTCGAACGCAATGTAATAACACTTTGGTCTATAAACAACTGATTCCACTAGTTTACACTCATAAGTATCAATAAATGCGACTATGTGATCGCTAGGAATTGTAACAGCAAATATGGATCCATCAACGTGACAGAAATCTAAAGGGTTGTTGGTGAATTTTACGACATCTTTTAAATATGCACCATCAAAGTTCAGTTTAGCTAAACGTTTATTATGAGTATCAGCAACAAAGAATCCATCCCCACAACGTGTACAACCTGTTATGTAAACAACCTCTGGAATATCAATTGTTCTTATCCTTCTTAGAGTAATTTGTTGCATCTTTTTTCACCTCCTACACATTTTTCTGTACTCGTATTTTCGCGATCTTGAAACAACGTCTTCATTTATTTGACTGTTTGATATTTTCTAACTGAAATAATGAATTATACAAAAATAAAAATGGTAATAATAATCCGGTCAATAAATGGTTAAGTTATTTGTCAATAAATAACAGGATGTTTGGAGATGATTTATCTCTATTGCGACTTTAATTCAACATAGCTCATTTATGTAAACTGAACAAATCAAAGACTGTCTTATTACATTCCAGTGATTGAAACTTCTGGCTTATTTCCAATACTCCTCTAAACAAACAAAAAAACTCAAACAAAACCCCGCTATAAATATAATAATACGTACAAAGAGCTTTGAACGCATTGTTTCGACAGGAACATATAGGTGTATATGATAAAGAGAATATGGAGTTAAGTTTATGTAGTAATTTAATTTTTTTAATGTGAAAGCAATTTTGTAGGAGATTTCTGTTAATTGATGAACGTTTGACACTTAAAAAAGAGGCGAAAGATACCAGAGGGACAGTCAAACTCATAGATCGAAAATAAACTGACAACGCCATGGCTAAAAAAGAAAAAGACAAACAGACAAAATAGTACACAAGACACAACATAGAAAACTAAAGACTAAGCAACACTAACCCCACTTAAAACTAGGGGTGATCTCAAGTGTTTCGGAAGGGTAAACAGATCCTGCGCCACATGTGGCACCCATCGTGTTGCTCGTGTTATTAAAAACACGGTAAATAGTCTAATTCGGTAGGTCACATATACGAAGCTCACTTACTAAACAACTGTACTGTTAAGTGTTTGTTAACTCAACTGTGATGAATTTGTAGATCTGTCTAGATAATTTAATTGGTCAAAATCAATTTGCGCCAATTACAGTTTTAAAAAGGTATCATGAATAACAAAAAAAAAAACTATTTATTGTATTATAGAGTCACATATTTATTGTTTTATTGAATACTGTGTGATATATAAATATTTGAATGAGCACATGCTATGTACATACCAATATAGTTTCACGGATGTGACCTACCGAATTAGACTTATTACCGGGTTTGTACTAACATGAGTAACACGACGGGTGCCACATGTGGAGCAGGATCTGCTTACCCTTCCAGAGCACCTGAGAGCACCCCCAGTTTTTGGTGGTGTTTGTGTTGCTTAGTATTTATTTTTCTATGTTGTGTTTTGTGTACTTATAATTGTCTGTTTGTCTGTTTGTGTTTTTCTTTTTTAGCCATTGCGTTGTCAGTTTATTTTCTATTTATGAGTTTGAATGTCCCTCGGGTATCTTTTGCCCCTCTTTCACAGTACAATACATAAAATTATCATCAAAAACTTGTTTATTAACTCAAAATAGATATATAGTAAATTTGGTGACTATGTTGAAAACATATGTTGAAAAAGCATATATATACAAGAGGGACGAAAGATACCAGAGAGACAGTCAAACTCATAGATCGAAAACAAACTGACAACGCCATGGCCAAAAATAAAAAGACAAACAGACAAATAATAGTAAAGATGACAAAACATAGAAAACTAAAGACTCAGCAACACGAACCCCACCAAAAACTGGGGGTGATCTCAGGTGCTCCGGAAGGGTAAGCAGATCCTGCTCCACATGTGGCACCCGTCGTGTTGCTTATGTTATTACAAATCCGGTAAATAGTCTAATTCGGTAGGTCACATTCGTGAAAAGAGAAGGGTATTGTAGTTACGACATAAGGAACTTATCCGATATCATCTGTGAAACGGTTATTCCATAACGGTCAACCAACTCGTAATGGCGTCCGTAAAATTTACGAAGGGATGATTTCAACTTCACCATTTGGAACTCTTGGTTTGATAGCTTCCTTGTGAGCAGCAATCCTCTATCAAGGAAATCATGATAGGAAATACAAGCCCGGGAATATCGTTTCAATTGGGAGATATATACTCCGTATGCAGGCGCTGCTGGAATGTTGCTACATAGAAATGGAAAGTTCACAATTGGGAAGCTGAAATCACCTCTTTTGTCGTGAAGTTTTGTTTTTCAACCGACCCTCATTGTCAATTTCTAGATGTAAGTCAACATATGAGGCAGACTTAACTGTATCTGTAGTATCCTTTTTCTCTAGTTCGATGGGATAGATTCGTTCAACATAGTCACCAAATTTTGTATTATTTAGTGAGAGAACATCATCTATATAGCGGAACGTAAAGTTAAAGGATATTGCTACCTCCTTATCTTTCTTCCGAAGAAGTTCATGTATGAAGTCAGCCTCATAATTTGAGCAAAAATAAAAATCTGAAGTGAATTTCGTTTACTAAAAGAGATATAAAGAACAAAATATTTTAAGTAATGTAACTTTATTATAAAGTTAACAATTTGCATTTTTAGATATCTTATCATAAATTAATCACAGTGAGTTAACTACATTATTATTATTAATAAACATTAAAATGTTCGTTCCATTAAACTCTTGTTTAAACATTTGCATCGACATTTTTGAATATCAGAACGTTTCATTATTTCAATAAGCTTAACATTCATTTAATTTTCGGTAATTTTATCGACCTCGCGGCACCAACCTTTACGTCTTCTCGAGGCCCACTTTCAAATTTTGAAAACGATTCACAAAAGTCTAATACAAAATATGCGCTGCTCATTTGAACATGAAATCTACCCCATATCGATCGACTTGCGATATTGAACACGTTTTTTAAAACAGAGTATGTGTTTGTGCTTAGAATTTGCCATTTCATAAGTAACTTTCCGATTTCAATTTTCCTTGGAATCAGGTATTTGTTTTTTATTTTACTTTTTTCATGGTGAGGCACTAATAATATAGTACGTTTCAGTTTTGTCAATATCAAAAATAAATTATTAGAATTCATTTTTTGAACTCATATTAAAATAAATAATGAGATTTTGATACAACTATGCATCATATAGATATAAGAAAATGTAGTATGAGTGCCAATGAGACAACTCTCCATCCAATTCACAATTTGTAAAAGTAAACCATTATAGGTCAAAGTACGGTCTTCAACACGGAGTCCTGACTCACACCGAACAGCAAGCTATAAAGGGCCCCAAAAATGACTAATGTAAAACCATTCAAACGGGAAAATCTATATTAAAACGAGAAACACGTATGAATCACATCAAAACGACAACCATTGAACATCAGTTTCCTGACTTAGGACAGGTGCAAACAAATGCAACGGGTTTAAACGTTTTAATAGGTATTAACCGTCACCCTTACCTGAAACAATAGTTTAACATCACAACAAAGAACGGCACACTATAAAATATCACTTGAAATTGCTTAACTCAATCAAACGACATATTAACGCAAACAAGTGAATATACACTGAACGAATAAAAAGTAAAATCACAAAAATACTGAACTCCGAGGAAAATTCAAAACGGAAAGTCCCTAATCAAATGGAAAAATCAAAAGCTCAAACACATCAAAACGAATAAATTTGATCTATGACACAATGTAAATACAAAATCAATAAAATAAGGGGTGAGATGTTAATCAATTTCAGAACGAAAGCCATAACCTTGATCAAAATGCCGCCAAATAGAATTGTGTACACAGGTAAATGAAAATAATTGTGTTATAAGGTATACTGTGGAGAACAGAAATACTTTTTACAAAATTAATAATTTTGTTGTTCATAGTACGAGAACAGAAGTGAAAAATTATATTCATACCAAACACTTATCAAAGCTGGTATATATAAAAACAGAGAGACGAGATATAACACTAAATAATTAATCATTAAATAACAAAAAAGCATTACAAATTGTATCAACAGGTCAAATTAACTTGTAGTTACTGAAAGCTAGTTAAAAGCCAAAAACAATTAGTAATACTAAAAAAAAAACATGCATCACAGACTAAAATCAACTAAAACACCTTCCAGGGATTTAGTATTTTAACGTCATGGACAGTCGAAGAAGAATGACTTGTGCAATGCCAAAAATAAAGTATCGACAGGCCGTAGGATAGTTAGGAGTTAACCTCTATATAGAAAATGAACGTGGATGTGTATTTATACATCCCGTTTGAAAAGATTACAAATTTAGTTATGTTTTAATTTGCAGATGCCAAAATCGATATTTTTGCCAATGTAAACTATATTCAAAGATCTAATTACAACATTGGTAAGATGATCTTTACTAATAAGTTTGTTAAAAAGGTTCGATGAGTTTACACGGAAAACATAGTGATTTCAGCGCTTTTAGTACAATATTACCGTAAAATTTAGGATGTGAAATACCGTTTTTAATAAGTTTTTTACAAATACAGCCAAATTTACTAATCAAATCTTTGTATCTATGAAAGAATTTAGTAAAAGTTTTAAGTAATTTATGGTAACGAAATCCCTGACTTAATAAATAACCAGTGATGCATTGATAACGTTCGTTAACATGTATGACATCACTACACACACGGCTAAAGAGACAAATGACAAATGACGTAGACATTAACAACTATTGGTCACCGTACGACTTTTAATAATCAGCAACACGCATTCAGCCTGGTAAGCTACAATAGGCCCCAATACGCATTTAAAACAAATTATTGATCAAAAACGAATTCTATTTTGTGCACTGTTATGGTACCTTTGGTCTTTTTCCACTCCACATATCCAATTAAAATACGGGAAGGTTTAATCTCTGAAAAAGCTGGTTTAACCATGTGACATGTAATAATTATATCCATTGGTTGTCTTTGTATATTATAAAACTCTTTAGTTAAAAGGAAATTTGTGTTCATGGCAGACTTTTGAAATGTCTGGTAAATGATTATTGTTATGTTTCTGGGACATTTACAGGATATTGATATAATTTCTTGGATACTTGCGTAATTGGGTTCAATATATTGTCTAATTGACGCATACCACATGCATTTTCAAAAACACAAATATGTTACTCTTTTCAGATGCAAATAGTTCACTATTGAACAGGTAAGTTAGGAAGAAAAAGTCTTACTAGTCTAGTTTGACGATAATTATAATATACAGAAGTATGACAGTTGAGTCTAGCTGTACCATATATGTTTATCTTAGTTGTATGTACTTATTTAACGAATAAGGTGATCACATATTATATATGAAAAACGATTTATTAATCTGAACAGAAGAGAAATTTGGAAATACCTATTGACATATATCATAAAAAGTAAAGATCGGGAAAGCAATCGAACTTAACTCCCTTGTAATGTCTATTTATATCTTCTGGACATACATAAACAGTAAAATTTACTATAACGATATATAGGTATACGGTAGGGTAACAGCAATCACTTGTTAAACAGTTAAAGAGGAAGTGGTTGTTAAAGATGAAAACAATGATTGAACTTCTGCTAAGAGGTTAGAAAATTTACCATAAAAAAAGTTAAATGAATGATTTAATCTGAGGTAGTTATAAGTTCACCCAAACTTAGGTAACAAATGCGCAGTAGTATTAGGTTTGCTGAATTGAAAACAAGATAGATTTATAGATATTTTTTCCCTGTTTAAAAAAAAAAGATTGTACTACAGTTGATGAATTTCCTTTAACTTGTTTGATACGTTTGCTGTAGGGCGAGTAATGAGGAATAGATCATAAAAAAGTACTAATTTTTGTTAAAAATTGGCCAATTCAATATCGATTTTCTGTACCAAAGTAAATTCTAAATTGTAGTTGTGGTTTTTTTTTGTAGCAAAATACATGAATGTAATTCAAAAATGGATTAAGAAAGAGACAATAGTTTTTACAATTATAATTTCCTACACAACAGTAAATTCAATTTCGGCTTTACAAAATTCTGCAAAAATCATTCTTGAAACACCAATTTTTTAGCTCAACTGCGACAAAGGGTCGAGTGATCTACTCTGATAATTTGGGGTCCGTCGTCTGCTAACTTTCACAAAAATATTTTCTTTAAAAAAATGGGCAAATGAAAACAAAACTTGATCCCAATCACCATTTGAATATCTAGTATGAATTATATTCGATGATCCCACTTGTAACCAACAAGGCGAAAATGACTAAATAGAGAACATGGAAGTAGAAAAATTAAATGGTAGAAAATTCTTAGTTTTTTTTTAAATTTTAAGTTTTGATAAAGATACCCTTTCATTTCACATTTGGTTATATCCGGGATTTTAGCACAGTCCCAGGTTAGGCGGACGGTTTGGCCCCAGCAAACATGGCAAACATGTTTAACCCTGCCACATCTTATATGTGCCTGTCCCAAGTAAAACGCATGTAATTGAGCGGTCGTCCTTTATTGCTGTGTTTTACTCACACATCCTATAAGTTGATTTATATGACAGTAAAGTTTAAATTTTATTGAATCAAATTGTAAATCATACTACATTTTTCGTTTATTATTTTGTACATAGCTTAGGGCGTTATTATTCTCGTTTAACATTTATCTCAAGCATTGTCCATTTTGTATACGTTTTAATATTGCCTTGCTTGTTGAAAGTTTGTTGAATCATGATTTTCAATAACGGCAAGGTACCGGTCTAGTTCTTGATAGCTTTCATATAGGCTTTTTCAGAATGAATCTATAATATATATACATCGTGATGTGATCTTCTGTTTGTGATAGCTTGATATTCAATACATTTGTACTTCATTGACTTTAATGACATAACTCTGTCTATTCACATTCCATCTGATGAACATAATATGTAACCTACAAAACGTCAATATTTAAAAAATGGCGATAGATTTAACATATAACAACGAGATTTAGTAGTTCAATTACAAAATATTTCCGAAAAGGTAAGTTGGCATTGAATATTATGACTACTAAAATGATGATCAATGATTTAAAAAATTGCCTTTGGCATTTTAATCAAGGGACAAATTTGTACTTAATAATTAGTTAAATGAAAGGAATAACACGAGGCTTAAATTATTGTTCATTGTTAAAACAATATATTTAAAAATTGTATGTTAATAAATGGTATTGTTTTAAATTTTAAGATTTGTTATATAAACATGTAAAAAAATAATGAATTAAATACAAATAAAGATTATTATACATGCTATAATCATGAATAAAACAATTTGAGGACTGTTATATTTTTTTTCATCATGATAAATGTTTAAAAAGTATCAAGAAAAATAAAAGTTGCAAGTGCATACTAAATGAAGGAAAAATAAAATTTACAAGTTGCATCAGGAAAGCTATATTTTTGAAAAATTCCATGGAATTATTTAAATGTAATTCAAAGTAATTCAAAAGTAATACATAATTACATGGCAAAAAAGCAATGTAATTCATTACTTTCAATTACATTTTATTGAAAATATGCTCAATTACACATTACATTGAATTACTTTCAAAAGTGTAGATAACATCATGCAGCTTATGACAATTACATTTTTATTGACCCCAGGTCTGACCCATATATCTATATATCGTTAAAGTAAATATAACTGTTTATGTATGTCCAGAAGATATAAATAGACAATACAAGGGAGTTAATTTCTATTGCTTTCCCGATGTTTACTAATAATGATATCTGTCAATAGGTATTTCAAAATGTTTCTTCTGTTCAGATTAATATATCGTTTTTCATATATAATATGTGATCACCTTATTCGTTTAATAAGTACATAAAACTAAGATAGACATATATGGTAAAGCTAGACCCAACTGTCATACTGAGATATATTATAATTATATATAATATATAATATTATAATCGTTAACTAGACTAGTTACACTTTTTCTTCCTATCTTACCTTATCAACAGAGTACTTTTTGCATTTGAAAGGAGTAACATATTTGTGCTTTTGAAATTGCATGGGCATGTGGTATGCGTCAATTATACATTATATTGAACCCAATTACGCAATCATTTACAATATGGCGATAGATTAAACACATAACAACGAGATTTAGTAGTTCAATTACAAAATTTCTCAGAAAAGGTGAGTTGACATTGAATATTATGACTACTTAATTGATGATAAATGATTTTTAATCTCTTATTCAGAATTAATACAATATATCATTCAGTTATTGTGGCAAACAGAGTAAAATGGCTACCTGTATTTCATCTTGTTTTCGTACCTGACTATTTGAATGTACATAATTATTTGAGGTCAAGTAAAAGCAAATGGACTCTGTCACAAATGTTTGTTCGACTTAGACTTATTGAAAATAGGGTAAAACACTATTATGTATACCAATCAAAAGAACATTTACAAGTGTACAAATTAAGAAAAGTCTTTAACTGATCAGTTTTGTCTATTTGATAAGAACATTTTTTTCACTGATTTTTCGACATTCCAAATAAACATGCATTCTATTTTAAGTAGTTCGTTTCATTTATGACAAAATTTCAAAGATATAAATGCAGTATATTCTTTTTCTCGATTTCAATTTCAAGTTAACACGGTTGTTTACAAACTATCATTGAAATCGGTGACCTGAATCATTTACGCAAAATGTGTAAATAAATACCTGGGCGCATAGTTATTTTTTTTCTATGTTGTTCTAAATGTAATCATAAAGTAAGAGATATAAGTTATTTACGAGGTATCAAATGTCCACATCTACATACAGTCGTATGATGAAGCAAATTACATATCTAGTAGATTTTTAACCATATTATTTTTAACCATTACAAGGACGCAGTTTTCTTTAAAAAAAAATGGGCAAATTGAAACCAAAACTTGACTCCGTTATCTGTTGCTCTATTTGGGATGCTTTTATCAATGTTTAAGATAAATTCTGATATCTAAACATTAAATTGTGTAGTATTTTTGATGTTTTTTTCTATGCATGCTAAGTATATGATGCTTTTATAAAGGAGTCTAAGTGCTTTAAGTACATTTGGATCTTAAATACTGCTTACTTGATTGTGTTAGTAAACTCCATCTTTTATGATTTTGTATATGTACCAATTACTTATAGTTTTGATTTATATTTAATGGATTACCTCAAGGACAACACTTTTCATTACAAGAGGAAATAAACACAAGAGTTTTGAATAAAGATAGAAAAATAAAATAAAACAGAATAAGGATACAGGACAATATCATCAAGACAAGATCATACATTTGTTTATAACATTTTCTACTACTAGTAATACTTCCAATTGAACTCTAGTAAATATTCAAGAGGTTTTATGGACATTTACCTGTATTTTAGTTTAATTTAGCTTTATGATTTTATAACCCAATCTGATTTAATTCTTTGTTCATTTAGCAAAGATACGAAGCCACAAGTTGGTATCTTCAACGTAAACGACATGTACAGGAGGGTCAAGATTAAGGTCATATTGAACCTGTAAATATAATTAGTAGTAACACTCGGACCAACGACGATGAGGATTTATCATCTGTTTTTTGTGTAATAAAGTAAGTTCAAATTCGGAGTTTAACTTCAATTTGAATATAATTCCCAATGTGAAATTCTAATTATTATCCGACATTTCATTGTCACATTCCTGCCTACTGCTCATTCATTGTGTATAGCTTTGCTTGCAGCATTTCTTAAACTCTGTCATTTAAAACTGTAATTTTTGCCTTTTATCAATAATTCCATTAGTGTACTTTCTCTGTAATTGAATATTCAATCTGAGTATTCAATACGTAGTTGATTGACAGAGACAGTTAAGCGTCAAACTTACCAACGGTAACAACTACTTTATTTTGACTGGTTCCTTGTCTGACAACTTAATAAGAATAGCAGATGTCCAGTTATGTTTGAACCACTTAATGGTATGAGTTGCTTTTCTATATAGACAGGTCTTGCATTACATACGTACTGGCAGTATCCCTGTCACTGCAACATTGACAAAACCTTGAAATCTATCACGTAATCATCCGGATGTAGCTTTAAACATAACTATATCAACTCAATATTCGCATTTGAATTTTCAGGGTCTTTCTTAAAAGAGGGGCGAAAGATACCAGAGGGACATTCAAACTCATAGATCGAAAATAAACTGACAACGCCATGGCTAAAAAAAGAGAAAGACACAGACAAATAATAGTACACAAAACACAACATAGAAAACTAAAGACTCAGCAACACGAACCCCACTAAAAACTGGAGGTAACCTCAGGTGCTCCGGAAAGGTAAGCAGATCCTGCTCCACATGTGGCACCCGTCGTGTTGCTCATCTTATTACAAACCCGGTAAATAGTCGGTAGGTCTCATTCGTGTAAAGGGAACGGGGTTGTAGTTACGACATAAGGAACATATCCGATATCATCTGTGAAATGGATATTCCAAAACGGTCAACCAACCCGTGATGGCGTCCGTAAAATTTACGAAGGGATGATTTCAACTTCAACATAAGGAATACTTGGTTTAACAGCTTCCTTGTGAGCAGCAACCCTCTATCAAGAAAATCATGATAGGAAATACAAACCCGGGAATATCGTAGCAATTGGGAGATATATACTCCGTATGCAGGCGCTGCTGGAATGTTGCTACATAGAAATGGAAAGTGAACAATTGGGAAGCTGAAATCATCTCTTTTGTCGTAAAGTTTTGTTTTCAACCGACCCTCATTGTCAATTTCTTGATGTAGGTTAATATATGAGGCAGACTTTACTGTATCTGTAGTATCCTTTATCTCTAGTTCGATGGGGTAGATGCGTTCAAAATAGTCACCAAATTTTGAATTATTTAGTGAAAGAACATCATCTATATAGCGGAAAGTCAAGTTAATGATATTGCTAATTTCTTTTCTTTCTTCCTAAGAAGTTCCTGTATGAAGTCAGCCTCATTAGAATAAAGGAACAAGTCGGCAAGAAGAGGGGCAAAATTAGTTCCCATGGTTTGTTGAAAAACACGTCCTCAAAACGTAACAAATATGTTTTTAATCAAGAAATAAAGCATCTTGATAATGTCAGTTTGAGAAAATATTTTGTTTGAATCAGAGTTATATTTTACAAAGTATGATTTATCCTTCCCTAAGACAAGATACTTGTATCTATTTTGGTCATTCTTTTTTATGAAACAAAGCAATACTTACTCTTTTAATTTGTCTTTAAGTTTGGAATGGGGAATACTTGTGTAAAGTGTAAAAAAGTCAAATGTTTTAATACTATTGTTAGATGGAAGAGTCTCAGATTGTATGTACTCTGACAGATCTTTGGATTTTTCTAGTATCATCATCTGATTCATGCCACCTCTAGAATAGGCAGTTTCACAATAACTTTGAAGCCCGTATGTAGGTATGTAGGTATCCAATACAGTGATGGAAGATCCAGTTTTCATCTTTGGTTGAAATTCCAAAGGAATATAGAACAGACCTATGATTATTATTATGATTAAACTTCACTTGATCTAAATTAGTGGTCTTTTTATTTTCTATTAAACAACAATTTGCACGGAAAAAAAATTACAAAAAATGAATCGCTCAAACAGGAAGTGTCACTTTTATAATCAAAAAGAATCCCTATTTCATCTTTTTATAGACCGTAAACTGGTGGAAGACGTTTAGCGGGAAATTATTTGAGAAAATAGGGAAATTTTGTTCAAAATTGAGTATCGAAAAATTACAAAAATCGGAAACGAGTATCATTTTGGGTGTCATGAATGAAGATACATCTTATTTTCAAATTCTAGATTCGGTGCTTTTTATCTCGAAATGGGTTATTTGGAAATAATAGAAACATCGCAAAATATCAAAACAAAAGGATAACTTAATCGAGGATTTCGAATATGAAAAAACATTTTTTGTTCAAATCTCTTAAACCAAATACGGAAAATGAGGCTATGTGTGAGACTTTTTGTATATTACTATATATTTTTGCGTGGTCAGGCCAGAGTAATGAACTCTTCAGTACATTAGATGTATGTTTCATTATTATACGTTATTTTGATTAGCTAACAGCAATATCGCGATATCTTCATTTCAAAATGAATTGCATGCATGAATTGTAACATACATGATGACACACGTTTCCACAATAAAGTGCACAGGTAAATAAAAGAAAAACTTGATAGTAACGGTGTGTTTTCATGATCATAGCGAAAAAATGTAATTATAAGTATTGAATGCTTCTTTTAAAAATTTCATAGGGTTGTAAAAGCGTTGAACGTGCGTACATTTTTAGAATGAAGCGCTTCCGCGCTTCATACAAAATGTACTTCGGTCAACGCTTTTTTACCCCAATGAATTTACAAAAAGAAGCATTCAATTCTTAAATAAATGATCATATACATTACACCCAACTCCTTTTATGTACTATGCATTTTCTATTGTGTATGTAAATTATGTCTATTACATACTTGTAACAAGGACATGTTGTATCAACAGGTACATATTATAAGCAAATATTTACTCATCATATCTTTGCAATAAATCAAATGAATTACACATTTCCCTTCATATTACTTTTAACGAGTAGCATGTGGCAAAATATCACTCGACCAGAAATTGGATGTAATAGAAATTAACATAACAAAAGCACGGAGTGGAGTGCTATAAAATTGAAACTGCTAAATAAATACAGGAGCTCTTGTGAGGAAAAAAATATACAGATAGAATGAATACTTTATTCAATGTTTATATATGGTGTGATATATAAATATATAGATAGATGATGATTACATGTACATTTGTACATAGATAGATGATAATTATAAAGATGGATGCTAATTATTTATAATGGGAGTTTTTCCTCCTCATTTACTTTTTCCCCGACAAATGAGACTGTAAAAGTGCAGGGCCCCCTGAGTTGCTTCCCTGAGCAACTTAGGGTTGATGTTACAGGTGATAATTAATAAAATATGTTTAACATTAAAAAAAGATAAAAAAAAAAAAACTATATAAAATCCAGGTAAAATATCGTTTCATCTCGCCCTTTAGTACGTGTTCTGCTTCCTGTCAGTTCCTAAATTTCCATAAAAAAAACTTATCATAAACACTTTCGATAAAACATATAAAAATAGTCAAATAAACTATATTTTTTTGCGTGGAAAACAATATTGACTGTTTGAGAGATTACGTGCTTTGGAAAGTCCTTTGGGACAGGAGTGTGATCAGTTTTTTTCTTTTTCACTCTTTTTTTTTTCTACTACACTTCCACACACTCTCATCAAACATATTTTTCTTATACAATTAAATGATCGTTTAAAAAATCTGCAATACTTGTCCTTTCATAGTTTTAGATATTTCAGTATAACACGAGACAACTCAACACAAAAATTTACGAAAAAAGGGACGATTTTTCTCCCCCTAGTTTTAGTAGTTCCTTTTCGGACGGTGATATTCGTTTTGTACCGTCTTACGATACTGTTACATTGCAATTTGTTCGCTCGATAGCATATTCCTATTTTTACGTTGGTGTTGTTTACCGAGCACAGTAATTTAGATACGATCTGGGTAAAATATCGATCATTCAAATAAACTTTTTAAAAACGGTTACTAAATCAACACTGCAACTATATCTTTGAATTTGATTTATTGGTCTTAAGATTGATTTTACTTATCAGTGAATTGACCATAATACATATTATTGTTATACAGATATAAGAAGATGTGGTATGAGTGTCAATGAGACAAGTCACAATAAGTAAAAAGTTAAAAATTATAGGTTAAAGAACGGCCTTCAACATAGAGCCTTGGTTCACACCGAGTAGCAAGCCATAAAGGGGCCCAGAAACAACTAGTGTAAAACCATACAAACAGAAAGACCATACACATATTCACTATGACGTTCCATAAAATTTTGATTAGCACAAAGTAATGTTTTTCGACGATGTTAATGGCGTCTTTACACTAAATGCTTTGGTTGTTGAATGTGAATTGATAGATATTTCAGTCTTGTATATGATTTTTTTATTCGTTGTTGTTGTCTTTGGGCTGTCTGTCAGTACTATATGTTTTTCTATTTTGATTAAGGGGTGGTGTGATTTTCATGCCGCTTTCAGTCTGTGTTTTTGTTGGTATTTTTCTGCTTTGCGTCGATCTGGTGAGTTAGGCCCTTTTCCACGGATTTTTATAGTTCGTTCGTATGTTGTACGCCTGGGTAGTGAGAGGGTTTGGTGATAGTGAAATAGTAAATACATTTAATCTTGCAACATTCTGGTGGTGGATGTCCCAAGTCATGAGCATGTAGTTCGGTGGTTGGTGTTGATTCATATCTGTCATATTTGCTTTTCCTAAATTGTTTTGTTATGAATTATGCCGTTGGTTTTCTCTATTGAGTTTTTTTTTTACATTTTTCATGTGGGAGGCTTTTATAGCTATCTATACAGTATCAGTTGTTCTCATTGTTGAATGCCAAACGGTTTCCTTTAATGTTTTATTTCCACTTCTCTTGAATTTTGGTGGATAGTTGTATTATTGGCAATCATACTTCATCTTATTTTTTTATTGAATTAAATGTGTTTATTCTCTTTCCATATATCTTTTTTACATTTTATATTTCCAGGTTTTGAAAAATATCAGAAAAGAGTAACCAAAAATTGTCTTTACAACAATCACCAGCTCAGGTCTTCGTTCGTTTGTTCAAGCTAATTAAAATCCATATGATTCATTGAAGCCGCTGACCCAGATTTATATCACATTAATATAAGTGACCATTCAAACCTGTCGGCATTTAAAATGTCTAACAGAAAAGAAAGAAGCAAAATCGGAGCATGCTGTTTGTTCAATGTACGCAAGAAAAAAAACCACAAATACATGTACAGAAACGATGGAGGAAAGCATTCAGGAAAGCATTCAGGAAAACATTCAGGAAAGCATTCAGGAAAGCATTCAGGAAAGTTTCTACATAACAGGATGTGAAGCATTATCAAATGGTTTCTATGTAGTTAATAGTCTTAACAAACGTTTAGCTGTACTGAACCGCAGTGGTGTACATTTGAAAGATATCGTTCAATTCACTAGCATTCCATTAGATGTGTGTTACATTAAGAGCAGAAACATAACTGCTGTTACGATCACATGGTTGTTTTTGTTGATACAAAAGAACGTAAAATTGTCGAGTCAGTTGTTTATAGACTGAAGTGTTATTACATAAAATGTAACGACAACAATTTGTTTATTGGTTGTCCAAATAATGGTAAAATCATTGTTGCTGACTTTTTTGGTCGTGAACTCGGATATCTTAATATTCCCGGTGATAGATTTGCAGTAACTCATGACAGTATTTATGCCATACATGAGAAAGAAGACCTTGTATTATGTTATGATATCCAAGGTAACCAGGGATGGATTGCTCCAGATATAGTTCGAGATCCTATAGGAATAGAAGTGGATGAAGACGGTTATGTATACGTGTTTAGCAAACACAATACTCTTCATTTAATATCACCAAATGGATTCAGAAACAGAATTGTTTTAGATGGTTCGGACGGCCTTGATGATCATGAATATATGATGTGTATGGAAAGAAGATTTCGTATCAAATATTTTCTAGCGATTTTAAGTAAGTCAAATAATCGACCTATAGCTTACCATTACCCTGGCTTAACAATCGGTCGTTTCTGACTCCATTTGTATTGGACAACACTTGAAGGCATGCGACTACCATATTTTGGCATATGCCTTCAACTGATGACGATTATTTTGTAAAGATCAAAAGACTAATCAAAGCATGTTGTACGTTATACACGAAAAATGTGTATACTTTATTATATTTTTTTTTATTTACATGGTATTAAACACACTGAATCAGAATATGAATCTGTTTGAAGAAAAAAACATTTGCAAGTTAACCTAGTTTAAATAATTTATTACCTTTTTACCAAATATAGTCGATTTTTTTCACATGCTACTTGTATATGTAAAGCATTCAGGTGAACATGTTTTGTCTTTTTTAAAACAGTTATAAGAAAAATGCTATTCAGTTATTCTGGGATATAACATATTTATCCATGAGTCACTTTTATACTTTGGTATATTTTTTTACTGTTGTGACCGAGTAATACTAATAGAATTAAGAATGGGAAAGGGGAATGTGTCGAAGAATAACAACCAACATTTGGATAATTGACCTAGCTAGATACCTGCTGACGTATACATGTATTTTCTTGGTACCATGAATAGTGAATGAGGTTAAGAGCGCTGGTAAGTATCTATCCCACATTCTACTGCCTGTATCAAGTCACGATCTCCGGTCTTTTGATGAACATTTCTCTGTTGAATTGTTTACATTAATGATACGGAGCTAGATGTATATGTAGGACAGACAAGAAACACACATTGAAACATTGTGAAATATATAATCAATGTAGTTTATGGATTTGAAGCAGCAGTTTTACAATGAAGGCGCCCAAGTTATGGTACAGTAGCTCATCAAGAGTTTGTAGTCAATAAAATATCCGACATTGAGATAATGAGTTTTATAGTATTTTTTTACTGAGACAATGGCCATGATTGCTTTTAAACTATCAGAAAAATAAGACTATATATCAGAAAAGTAACACTCGAAAACATTGGTAGCAAAGACACATTTTTTTAATGTTTTTGGCATTTTTAATTGCTATTGTGTGACAGTGTTGGACGATTTACCGCCATTCTAAGGAAAACGTTCGGTTGCATACATGTATTTCGAGTATTATCACTTAATTGGTTAATATAAGTACGTAGGATGTTTTCGTAACCAAATATTGTAACGAAAACTTTATGTAGTAACATCTGTGTACATTAATCATTCCACATGCATTTTGTTGTGTTTTCAAATGGCGGACCCGAATGACGAAAACGATAAACCATCGTACAGTACCAATTTCATACTGTGATGAACATTGGCATTATTTGCAAATAATAAATAGGTCGCTTACTAGTTTCAATTGTCATGAGCAATACTGATATTGTATTCTACTTTGTCTGGAGGTAAACCTAAATAAAACGACAAGTTTACAATTTATTTTAACAAAACATGACCTATAAATCGAACTCTAAGGTAAGTAGTCATCAACGGTACCAGGCTTATAATTTAATACGCCAGACGCACGTTTCGTCTACATAAGACTCATCAGTGACGCTCAGATCAACAAAGTTAAAAAGCCAAACAAGTACAAAGTTTTAGAGCATTGAGGACCCAAAATTTCAATAAGTTGTGCGAAATACAGCTAAGGTAATCTATGCCTTGTATCATAAAAGTCTTAGTTTTTCAAAAAAATTAAAGTTTTGTAAACAGGAAGTTTATAAAAATGATCTCATAATAATATTCATGTCAACACCGAAGTGCTGACTACCGGTCTGGTGATACCCTCGCGGACGAAACGTCCACCAGCAGTGGCATCGCCCCGTGGTGTAAATAGTTACCAAAAGTAACAGGCTTATAATTTAATACGCCAGACGCGCGTTTCGTCTACATAAGACTCATCAGTGACGCTCTGATCAAAATAGTTAAAAAAAAAGCCAAACAAGCACAAAATAAGATTTGGCTTGTGCTTTAGTTTTATGACCTTATAATTACAGGTATGTATTGAATAGTTCGAAGTTTTTTTTTATTGACGGATTGGTACCACAGGTATATAAGTGTTTAATCCTGTATTCGTTTACAAATTAAAATATCTGCATCCAATACCTTAAAATCATGTATGTCGTATGCTGCTTCTTTGTCATTGATCAGAAGTTGTGATAAAGAGAAACAAGACAGCTCTAGGTGCTTACATTAAATCTTTACTGTAGTTTAACTTTCGAAGTACAAGACTATCTATTCAAATATGTCAAAACGTTCTGTTTCACTACAATCCGGGGATAAGATAAGACCTGGCTTTGTAACAAAATATGTAATCTGTAACAAAAAGTAATCGATAAGAAACCACAAAGGATGTCACAATTTCTGGTCTACTGGTATAAATTTGGATACCCTGTCTATCTCACAAGTTTCAGGCCTATATATATAGTTTTAATGTTAAGTCTACTCCTGTAGTGTCTTTACCTGCAATTCAAACATAATATACCAATTGCAAACTGTCATAACAGTTATTTTTAGAGTAAAAGCTTCCATATGTAAACTAGCCGTCTGTAATAGTTCCAACAAAAATAAGGTGTAACAGACAGACGGACACATATGTTGTTTCCAGGATATATAGCCCAATTTTGAACACCAAGCTTTCAGGTTTAAAACCAGTGAAATATCTTCGGAAAATGATATAAAAAGATTATATAAAAGGTGTAAATCAATGCAAGTTTAACAAAAGTAGTCTCATTCTGTCCTGAATATGTTTTTAAGCAAACTGTCAGTAGACCGATATGAAAATGACGATAATACATTTCTCCGATAAAAATTCAAATTTCAGAAGAAGCAAGAATAAAAGAGGGACGAAAGATACCAGAGGGACAGTCAAACTCATAGATCGAAAAAACAAACTGACAACGCCATGGCCAAAAATAAAAAGACAAACAGACAAATAATAAAATTGAGAATGGAAATGGGGAATGTGTCATAGAGACAACAACCCGACCATAGAGCAGACAACAATAGTACAGATGACACAACATAGAAAACTAAAGACTAAGCAACACGAACCCCACCAAAAACTGGGGGTGATCTCAGGTGCTCCGGAAGGGTAAACAGATCCTGCTCCACATGTGGCACCCGTCGTGTTGCTTATGTTATTACAAATCCGGTAAATAGTCTAATTCGGTAAGTCACATTCGTGAAAAGGGAAGGGTATTGTAGTTACGACATAAGGAACATATCCGATATCATCTGTGAAACGGTTATTCCATAACGGTCAACCAACTCGTGATGGCGTCCGTAAAATTTACGAAGGGATGATTTCAACTTCACCATTTGGAACTCTTGGTTTAATAGCTTCTCAATAAAATATCACATCATGTAATAAGTCTTTACTATGGATCCAGATTAATAACAATAATTTCCCGCAAAAAGCTTAAGGTGAGTAATCGACTTAGCATTAACTTAGGTTAGTGACACGACTTTTATCAGTAATTACATAATTCAGTAAAATACAATTTTTATTAAAAAAAACCCACAGGATTAATAAGAAAAAAACAGTAACATTATTTTATGCAACTGATAAAGCTGAACATTTTAACAAGAATTGTTATTCGCAGATTGACTTATTTTTTACTCGATTCATTTAAAGTTCAGCTCATGATTTCCATCATAAGCAGTGAAACGCTTTCTAAAGAAACTAGTCTCAATATGTAAATATTCAAAGTTTTCGCTTTAATTCTATGCAAACCATAACCAAAACTAGCCAATATATGCATCAAATTGGAGAGTGAGTTCCTACCTAGAAAATGTCCAAAAAATGCTGAAAATTGCACAAAATTCGATATATGCTTGAAATTTCCCTTTACCTACACACGTTTGCATATCTGAGCTTGAAATTATTTACAAAAGGCAATCACTCCGTGAGGTAAATTTTGCAAGAAACTTTATCAAGCTCTCTGATTGGTTCAAAACATTCGGAATTGTAATGCATGGATTGCTCCGTCACTAAAGAAACTTCCGAAGAAAGCATACTTACATTACTAATAATGAAATATACGAATGAACTAAATTAAGCGACCCACAAATGTAACATTGCCTCCTTCCTACCGAAAAGATATGTCGGCATATCTTGCAGATTCCATGCGTAATTTAACCCGCTACTATTTGAAACTTATTAACTGGTCTCGCTTGTACGACAACAGTAGTCCTAACTAATTATATACACATCTCCCCTCCTAAAATATAACGAATAATTATACAAGCTAAACATTTTACAAAATATAGCTGCACCACCATCAAAAATTTCAAGCTTTAATGTATGTAAAAGTAAAAGAATATTATATACAAAGTGACAAAAATGGTCTCCTGTTTTGTATTATATGTATCTAAAAAATCTTTTTACACATTATCTAAAAACAATTAATTCATGCTCAAACATATCTCAGAACTAGTTCAACAGCTCTTTTCAAGGGATAAATTAATGAAAGACCCTGAATTTCCTTGAATTACAAATGTCAAATTTACAATTTTAGTCTGGCTCTTCTGGGTTCATATAAATACAATGACACTCGAGGTTTCAATGTATTAAACAACTTAACCATAACAAGTTTGACTTGACATCTTTGGACCTTATGACCATAAAAAAAAACTCTTAAAAGTATCTGTGTAAAAATAATAAATTTCAAGTTACGACTATCAATGTTATTACCTTCTATTTGTAATTTAATGGTACTATATCTGGAGATAATTCAGTGTCCAATCATTGCCACATATCATCTTGTACAATACTGTATAATTATGTACCATCTTTACGATACAATATAACAAAACCATTAATAAAAGTAATACCACAATTGGTTGACATTCTATTATTTCTACCAAACAAACTACAAATATAACTGTGTTCCAAAGTTAAACCGTAGGATTCATTGTAATTTTTTCATTTAAACAAACTGTCACAAGAGACAATCACTGCACGTGTTAAATTTCCCCATAAACGTATTTGAGCTCTCTGATTAGTTGAGGGGAAACTATTAAGAAGTTTGCTGCATCATTAACATTCGCATCTTCGCCAGCCAAGGGTTACAATCCACTCCCCTCCTTTCCACCCTTGGCGGATTGAGAGAGAATATCGCATCCACGAGATAATGATTTTCATTAGTTGCAGTCGTAACTGGCTGCATCCAATCAAAAAGCATCTATAACATGATCACGTGTAGATGTAGAAAATGTAGGTAAACACTTGTCACGTGCTAATTTTGCAACAAGTCTTTACCCCAAAACATATGACGGTATTTAGTGACAATTTAAATGTTCAACTAATAGAAGTTCCTGTTTATGTTTCTTGCACAAATGGTAGAATGTCAACGTATATTTTCGTTTCCTGCTTCACCAAGTTAGTAGAGTCTAGACGCTACCGTATTTTCACCTCCACACTGAAGAGTGTTCAAGTGCTACCATTGGTCAAGATTAATGTATTCGGAATGGGCGTGACTTTAATCAACCGATAGAGGGCGCACCATTGTTATCACAAATGCTGGCTCAATCTGCCAAAGGTGGAGAGGAGGGGAGTGGATTGTAACCCTTGGCTAGCGAAAATGTAAAATTAGAAAAAAAAAGTAATAAAATAGTCATACTCAAACATTCTTAGAAAAGGAATATGAATTACTAATAATAAAATCAATAAATGAACAAAATTAAGCGACCAACAAATTATACTATAATACTTAACCTGTCACTACATAAGATTGTATAATGTCATGTTTGAAAAAATACCCCGAGAAACCTGAAAGGTTCAATGTGTAAAAGAGATGCTTAGAACTGATCCTGGTAGTTCTACATCAGAACCATTTTCGACAATTTTACTCTAGGGCTGATTTTTTCTTTTTTATAATAAATTAAAAATGTCAGTTCTACAGAAAGGTTAGAACTGATTTAAACTTTATATAGATTTCAGTTCTTATACAGACAAAATGTATTTACTTAACTACGACATGCTTACTACCCTTAGGATCATTCATATCCCCTGAAATCAATGGTCTTTAAATATCTCATAAACCATCGAGATTAATCATGATATTTTTGTATTGATTGCAACATATCCTCTTCTCTAAGGTTGTCTGTAATTATAACATAACTTGCATTCAATAGAAAAAAAGGGATATTATTTGAAGAGGTTTTATAATAAGATATGTAAATTTTATATGATTATAAAATGATATTTGGTTATTATAACTTAATAATACATAGTTGATCCCTAGTTTATCATAAAGGAGCCATATCTTGTCTGCCTTTTATCTATGATTAAGAAAAACGTTTGAATAAGTATAACAAACAACCGAACTCCAAGGTAAGTTAAGAAAGGGATAAGTCCATTCCAACTGACTAAATCAAACGTTATCAATCAACGGAATGAGTTAAAAAAAACTTTCATATTCCTGGCTTGGAACATGTACATGCATTTTTCCGAAGAAAGAGGTTGGTTAAACCCAGTTGTAAAGCTATCTGAACGTCCCGCTAGTATGACAATTGTATATAGATCCGTTATATTGGGTGATTAATCCAAACAGACATAAAAGGTTAGACATTAATTAGCATAAAGCAGCCAAGTCTGTTTAAACACATAGTTATACAACACAACTGATGAAAAATATCAAACAAACATACAAATAAATATAGCAAATACGCCAACTGAATGGTTGGTGTAAATTCGACAAAGACAAAGAAAAAAGATTTTGTAGTTGATATTATATTGACAAGGCGCCGGTAAAAAAGTTTGGAGTTGATAGTAAATACCGTATAGTATACACTTGATCAATAAAGTACAAATTAAGTAAAATATAAATAGGGAAAAACACGCAAGCAATACTGTTAAAACCTCTTGCGCCATAAACATGATAAACGCCGCTCAGATCCAACCTGCACCAGGAACGCCCAGTCAAAACCCCGATAGCTGAATGTATAAATACCGCGTCAGTCAAAAGTCGTATGATCAATAGATACATAATAGCACGAAGACAAATAGAGGAAACACTGTAAAGTTTATAAAAAGTTACACAACTTCAGCACCTAAAATCTATAACTAAAGACCATCTTGTAGTTTTTGTGATTTAGACACTGAATATTTATCTACTAGGTCTAGGTACTTTCCGCTGAACATTTTAAGAAAAAGGAATAAACGTTCTTTGACAAAGCCCTGGTTCATTTTCTTTTTTGCTCAGACACCGATTACTATTTACAAAGTTGCAAGCACTTGAATATCTTAGTTGAGAAATGTATACTCCATACGCGGGTGAAGTTGAGATAATCATGCTGAGGTGAGGAGAATTTATAATTTCAAAATTGAAATCGTCTCGTTTGTCATAAATACTGGTACTGAAATGACTTCTGTTGTCAAATTCGAGGTAAACATTGACAATATACTTATAAACACTGACAATAAAATGGTAACTAAAAAAAGTATCTGCAAATCAATTTAGTTCTGCTATCGACTTTAACACGATTAAAAAAAATGCTACACCACAATGCATACAAAAAAACTTCCTTTTCTGTTTAGCTAGGTGTAAAGCGATCACCATGTTCTTTTACGTTCTACGTTGTACACCAAAGCGTGATTACTGGAACCACATACCAATAGTTGATCAGAATCTGGATACATGCACAGACAACTGAAATCACTGAGGGCGGCATCCTCTTTATCTATCACAACTCTGCTACTTGATCCGTACGGCGAAATAATATATATAGCTTCATTTAATTTGCTGAAAACATAAACATATTTTCTCTGATCAACTGCAACTCCTACAGGCCTTTGAACTATATCAGGATACGTCCATTTTCGTTTACCAAATACATCGTAGCATAAAATTTCATCGTCGCGTTCGCTCACACTGTAAATTTCATCGTTACGTAGAATAAACTCTTTACCACGAATTGTGAAACAGTTGATTTGTTTGCCTTCTAAGTCTGCAACGATCAACTTTTCATTACCAGGAAAGCCAATAGCCAACAATTTCCCGTCACAGTCCACATTATAACATTTATATGGGAAATAGACAGTTTGTATGATTTGGCCCAAAACTATATCTACATAAACGACCGCTTTTTCATTCGGAATAGTCAAGGCAACTGTGTTGTCTTCTAAAGAACAGACATCATAAGGTGAATTGGAAAATGTGACTATATCTTTGAAATTGCCTCTTTGATGTAGAACTAATCGATTTTGGTGGCGATCAACAAGCACACATTTTTCATTTGTTAGTTGGGCACATCCCGTTACATCTATATTGCTTGGAAGCTTAAATCTCTCACCAAACTCAAGAGAAATGGTAACTGCTGATCTCTGTGACCTTTGAGCGAACGTTGGCGATACAGATTTCGGATAATTCATAACAGAAGGGGTTGACTTGATCACAGCCTTACCAAATGACACAATTTTATTATCAAATGCGTTTAAGGTCGGGTCTACATTAACAGATATATCTTTCGTCGAAAGTGCATCTGTTTCTCTCAATTCATCTAGTGACTTACTGATTTTTTTCAATATTTCTTTACTTGATCTTACAGCAAAAAAGAATTGTTTTTCGGTACCGTCGCGCTGTAAATCATCCAATTCTTTCGCCATGTCTTGCAGAGCAATAGTGTTGTGGCATGTGTGCTTCGTTGTAGCCTCTAATTTTGACTTCAGATTTTCGTAATTAGTTGTAATTTCTTCCTTTATGATCGTTTCCAAAGTGTCTAAGTGAGTATTTACCTGGCTTCTTACTTGGCGTATTTCTTCCAAACACTGTTTTCTTTGATCATCAATCGATGATTTCATTTTAGACAGGAAACTTTCAATGGCTTGAAATTCCTGTGTCAGATTTTTTAAATCAGCGCCCACTTTTTTTAGACGTAGCACTATATTTAGCATCTCGTGTTACCGTTTCTAGTGGCAGTACTTGACATCGATAATGTTCACCAATCCTGCACAGTCGACAATAACTCGTTTCATGATCTTCACAATAATTTTCAAAATCTTGATTGTGAGTTTCACAGATAGTATTCATTTCTGAGTTAGCTAGGTTGATTTTCGTTCTGGGTATAAATTCGAACACCTAAAATAAAAAAAGCTTGCATTTATGGCTTTGTTTATCGTTAGCCCCTCGAATGAAGATTCCATTTTAGTGAAAATACTGAGGGTTGGTAATATCTCAACATTCATCAATTTTGTTTGGAAAATTCAGAATATTACGCTAACAGAGGTTTTAATCACAACATGTACATGCTGTATTGAGTGGTTGATAACAGTAGCATGATTAGCCTTACAGTTTTTAAAACCGAAAGGTTCTTCGAGAATCCAATGAATATGTTGTATTACAATTACGTGTATTAAGGTGGGAAATTTTTATGTAGAACTCATGTGAGCGTTAATTCAATGGAGATACAAAAAAATATTTAATTTTCTATACTTAAATTTATATTTTGAAAAAAAAAAAAAAATAATAATCACGAAATTACTTTAGTTACAACAGAACACGTATATAATGTGTCTGAATTATCAAATGAAATTAAAAAACATATTATGAGGACCGTCTGAAAACTATTTTAAAGAAAAGTATATTTTAAATCAACTATTTGGGATAGTTCTTATTCAAGATTTATTGAAAAGATTAACAGAATAAAACAAATAACTTCAATTTATTCTACTGTTTGTACATTTTGGTAGCTTAAACAATATTTGAGTGGATGCAATTATCACACGTGACACTGAAGAAAACACTTCATATTCCCCTCTAAATATCGGGACTTCCTCGTACAACTTTACGCGCGGTTAATTTACATGTTGTGTACAAGTTATGATTTTGTACACATTATAATTTGTACAAAAATAATTGTACAAATTATAATTCTAAAGTATGTATTTTGACTTTGGAAAAATTATAATTTGTACAAAGTTTGACTAAAATTCACTTATAACTTGTTCAATAATTTATAGTATGGATTTTGTTATAAAAAAACATTTATACACACTCTAGAATTTTTATTCAATGACCACACAATAAATCTTTTTTACAAAATACAAAAATAGTTCGGTTTCATTTGTTTGAGAATGTGAGTGAATTATGGCACAGGGAATTGCACAACATCGTTTGCTTTTTACATTTAAATTTAGAAGTGCTGCACCCCCTTTGCATTACATAAAAGAAACCTATAACCACCAGTTTTTGAAAACGTTTTAACTGCATTACGTAGCGAAAGGTGAAGCTCATGAACCGTTGCTGCGAATAAAGATGTGTTTTTAACAGTTTCAATTTGATTCCTCGACAAATATCCTGTTAAAATTCCTATAGCTTTTCCAATGCGAAACCCAAATTCTCCAGATTCAATGATTACACCTAATATATTTCGAGGATCAGTTGGGGCACGGCCATACTAATGAATTGGTATAATGACATTATCCCCAACAGCAAGATCTGATAATTTCCGTTTTGTTTTCTCGCTTCGATATTCGGCTTGGATCTGTTGGCCAGACAGCGCACGCTTCCTGGCACGTATGATTGGTGTTTCAACGTCAGTGTCATCCTGATTGTCACTCGGGCCAATTTTTATTATTACTATCAGAATTTTCACTGGGGTCAATTTCTATTATGCTATCAGAATTGTCATTGGGGCTAATTTTTATTATTCTATCAGAATTGTCACTGGAGCCAATTACTATCAGAATTAACTCCATCTAGGTATTTTTTGTATTTTGTAAACAAGGTTTATTGTGTAGTCATTGAATGAAAAGTTCATAGTGAGTATCAATGCTTTTTTATAACAAAATCCATACTTTAAATTATTGTACAAGTAAGAAGTGAATTCTAGTCAAATTTTGTACAAATTGTAATTTGTACAAAAAAATTGTCCAAATTATAATTTGTATTTTGACTCTGTACAAATTGTAATTTGTACAGAGTCAAAATACAAATTATAATTTGGACAATTTGTTTGTACATTTTTGTACAGAGTCAAAATACAAATTATAATTTGGACAATTTTTTTGTACAAATTATAATTTGTACAAAATGATAACTTGTCCACAACATACATACCGTTTAAAACGTTTCTTAAATAGCTATAATAGTAAAGTTATGTTTTTCAAAATTATATCAGATGTTAAAAGAAAAAAAAAAAAATATTTATAACTTTTGATTAGTATTAATTTTCATTATTTCTCTATGTTTATGTCGTGTTTAGTAATGCAAAAAGATGGACAAGCAAAAAAATGTATGTATATTAATATTGAATGTTCAGGTAGTAAACAAAGTGCATGTATAGACAGTGGAATAAAACATCCATTTCCTTTCCATTCGGGGAATATATGAAGATTTGTTTACCCTCGAAAAGTCCTATTTCCCTCGGGAAATATGAATTTTTTTGGGTGAACAAATTTTCATATCTCCCTCGGACACGGGAAATAAATGTATAATATTCATATAATTGTAAAAAAGTTCATTTAATCCATTTCATTTTGGCTGTGTAGTTCTGGCATTTCCGTTGTCAGTTTTTTTTCGACTTGTGAGTTTGAATGTTTCTTTGGTATCTTTCTCCTCTCTTTAAGTTCTGGAGAAGACTTTTTTTAGCGGAATAGGCCATCTAGAGCAATGTGTTCTTGGCGCATTGTGTTGTTTTACTGACAATTTATCAATTTATTAAGTCAATTGTGGGGAACCTACCAACCTAGAGGCCGTCCCAATCACTTCAGACACTTGTCTGAATAATATTATATGCCGTTGATTAAACAGGTCGGGTAACTACCTTTTATGGAAACGCATACTTTTTCAAACAGTACAAAGCACATTTTGACAGATTATCGGAAAGAAAGTTTACCATTCAAATGGAGACATAAGAACATAATTTGTTGCGTGACTAATTTCATATTCAAAGTGTACGACATTCTTTGATGTGTTTCCCTCGGTTTTCGCTTGTTACCCGGATTTGTTTTTGCTTAATCGAATTCTGACTATTGAACAGCGGTATACTACTGTTGGCTTTATTTGACGGATGATTCGATTTAATGAGTATCCCCGTTCAATAATATAGAATAAGACATATCATATTTATGTGCTAACTGGTGACGATGCCTAACCATGGAGGTATTATATATAGACAAACGAAATAATAATACTAAATTTAAACTGAATTTGAAACAAATTAAGATCTAAAAGTTTTCCAGATTCTGAGAGAGAAAAATATACTCATTGATTATTTACTTATATATGTTTAAAGTTATTTGGCGTTGAAAAGCAGCGTTGTTATTATAAATTAAGACCAATTGGTATGAACTAAATATGTAAAATTGGTGTAATAAATAGATTATTCATTAAATACATGACTAGCCTTAACACTTTTCGATGTTGATAATGATGGATGGCTTTTTCACGTCCAGTGGCAAATTAAACGCATGTATCCTGCAATCGACCTTTCTTCTATACAAATACAGGTGTACAGATAAAACAAAGCAATGTATGTTTACATGTAGAGTCTCATGTTTCTGTTATGTATGTTGTGAGCGATTTGTTGTTTTCGTCACAGTTTAATTTGTGTCATTACCAATGGCCACGTTTAAGGCATGGTGATATCATGACAAAAACACAAAAAATTCAAAGTTTTTTTTGGGGGGGGGGGGGGGGGGGGGACTAACATTTAAGTATAAATGTTAGTAACATTTATATTGTAGGACATAAACAGTATGTCATTTGTATATTTTAGGAAAATGTAACATGTATTGGTATTCGCTACTAAAATTAAAGTCATATTTTCCTGTAATGTACGGATATTGTATATATTAAGGACGAGAACATGTCAGTTTGATATGAATATAAACCCTGCATAGTACTAGACCATCACAGGAAGCCGAATTTTAAACGTTTCCTTTTTCTATTCTAGTTAACTAATCAATAATTTGATATTTTTGAGACATTAAACTTTTAATTAACTTGTTATAATAACTACCTGATCTAATTCAGCAAAACCCAATAAAATTATTCATAGAGATCTTTTTTAACAAATTAACAGTATATGGTATTTGCATTTGCATTTTAATTTGTTTATTCATATCAAGTTTCCATGGAGCCCTCCGTGCACTTTGAAGACAATACGTTTCAATAAAATAGCCTCTTGATGGCATTTGTACCTAAAGATTTATGAAATGTCTTGGCGACGCTCTGTGTCTTAATTTTTGATAGCAAAGTGATACTTACAGCCATCCGAACATAACGAAGATACAACATTTCCGTTGAATCTTTTGGTATAATTTCATATTTATAGATAGGAAAATTTCATATTAGACATTGAAAGATCAGGGATGACATAAAACGGTCTTTTACATGAAATTCATTTTGAATATCATAAATGATTTTAAAATGATGATTTTCGGTGGTTTGTGTATGCTTCTATGCAGTGGTCATGTTTTTAAATTTGTTATTCTGGCTTCGGTTTTGTTGTTAAAGATTTATTAATTATAAAGAGAGAATTGTTGTCTATATAAAATTCCTTAGTAAAACATAATAAAAAACAGTATTTACCATATTTCAAAATATACTATTTGGTAAAACTGTTACGGAGTTATCGGAACTAGGCGAAACTGTTTGGGTAACGTGCGGCTAAATGATCAAAGAATGCCTTTGAAGAAAGATTTTAATTCAAACGCATGTATCGTACGACCTTTTCAATTACATGTTCTGTGTTTTTATTGTCATTCAGTATATATTGTGTTAGTCCAACAGATCAAGCGGGGTATCAATCGGAGATCATTCGTTTTTTGGACACCGAAAATCAATTGGAGAAAAATCCTCATATATAGATATAGGAAGATGTGGTATGAGTACCAATGATACAACTCTCCATCCAAGTCACAATTTATAAAAAGTAAACCATTATGGGTATAAATTCTTATTAACACGTTATCGGAATTTTACGAAACTCTTTGAGTGACGTACAGCTAAATGATTAAATAATGGATTTAAGAAATATTGTTTATTTTGATTTAAGCAGAGCTTTTGAATATGTTCTGTGTTTCTATTTTCATTCAGTAAATTATATTGTGTTAGTCCAACAAATCAAGCGGGGTATGAATCGGAGATATTTCATTTATTTTGGACAACGGATATGAATGGAAGAATAATCCTCATAACTTTACTTTATATTAGAATCAAGTTACAGCATGTAGTAAATGGTTCAGGTCGCCGCTTTTTATAATAGTTTGTAAACAACTGCGTCATAGTAAATCGAGAAAAATACAGTGCATTCATCTCTTTAATTTTCTGAAACATAATTGAATGAACTATCTTAAAATAGAATGCCCGTTCGTTTTAAATGTAAAAAATAATATAGTTAAAAAAAATCTAAATAAAACACCGAGTGGATGTGGACGGGTATTTATACATCCCCACAACAAAAAGACATTATGTGCAGATCTGAGAGTACTCGCAGTATCTGGCATCTAATTCAAAGCCCATACATTATAACAACTAATAAAAAAATCATAGTACAGTTTAGCAATGTATCTCACCTTGAACGCTGTATATGTTTGCAACTATTTGCATTGTCGAACTTCTGAATGTGAAATAACGTGAGAGTCGAATAAAAAAAAATCATTAATCGATATAGCTACAAAATGTAGTAATACTGTTTATATTCAACTCACCTTTTCTTAAATGTTTTGTAATTGAAGTACACTAATCCATCTAGTTGTTAAGTGTTAAATCTATCCATCTATAAATATAGACGTTCGGGTAGTTACACATCGTGTTCATTGGAGGTTAACTTATAGAAGAAATATGATTAAATAGAGTGATGGTCGAGAAGTCAATGAACTCCTAACACATACAAAATGACAAGTTCTTAGTAGTTATCCATATATAACGAATGCCACGCTCTTACAACAGCGAAAATGTATTCACCTTTTATGTTCATTATAAAAAGTCAATGTCCTTATATAAAAATTGCGGTCTTTATCCAACGCAATCATAGGTTTGAACGTTGTTTTCAATTTAGACTTTTTCATATTTATTTCGTTTGGGCTTGTATTATATATTCCCTCCGGTTTATATAATCCGTTCATCCTATTTTGACTCTTTAAAATTCAAGAGTCTATCCTAAATTGAGGTAAATTAAATGGCCTTCCAAATACTTTTCGATCCCTAACATCACCGAAGAGACATTAATTGTCGAAATCCGGATATGGTGTAAAAAATTTAGCACCTCATGTTGTGGTTTACCATCTTTGCCGCAAGTTTATTGTTTTCTATTTGGTATTACAGTTAATATAGAGATCCATTTTGTTACGCCTTGTGATCAATTTATTTGGCAATCGCCAATGGCAGTCAGGAGGGTATAAGAACATCAGTTGTTCGACCTGCTAGTCAAATGTGTTTTGTTAAAATATATTTTTGCACTCTTTTGGTCTTTTGGAAAATGTTGTTTGTGCTGTATTTAGACCCTTCTACAACGAAATTTGTTACATGCACACGTATAAAAATTGCGGTTTTTATCCAACGCAATCATAGGTTTGAACGTTGTTTTCAATTTAGACTTTTTCATATTTATTTCGTTTGGGCTTGTATTATATAATCCCTCCGGTTTATATAATCCGTTCATCCTATTTTGACTCTTTAAAATTCAAGAGTCTATCCTAAATTGGGGTAAATTAAATGGCCTTCCAAATACTTTTCGATCCCTAACATCACCGAAGAGACATTAATTGTCGAAATCCGGATATGGTGTAAAAAATTTAGCACCTCATGTTGTGGTTTACCATTTTTGCTGCAAGTTTATTGTTTTCTATTTGGTATTAAGTATATATATATATATAAAGGTCAGGATTTGGCTATAAAATAGAGAAAATAATGGACCAAATCAAGATAGAGAACACATTTCTATCTTTTAAGAAGACAGAATTAGTGGGTGCTATAATATACATTTGTATAGACTATAATATGAAGGGCGAAAAAAAAAACCATAAGGTGTTTGAACATAAATAAAATAGAGGATGATTGGCCAAACAAAATTAAGAATAGAGAAAAATGGCTAAACATAATTACACAAATGAATGTAGCCAAACATATGAATAAAGAATACAAAAACAAAGAATACCCACTACTTAGTATTCAATACAGACCCTTGTATATTTGACAGGTGTGTTGAAAATATCTCGTATACTAGTATACAAATGACAATTTTATAAGGTTCTAGCACAAATATGGCTGCACAATATACATTACATTTTTTATCGATCTGATTAGTTAAGCCCTTTTCAACTGATTTTTATAGTTTATTCTTATGTTGTGTTGTTACGCCACTGTCTCAGGTTAGGGAAGAGTAGGCGCTTTCAAACATGTTTAACCCGCCATATTCTGTATGTGCCTTCTCAAGTCAGCAGCTTGTAGTTCATTTGATGTCGCTGGTTCATGTCTGCCATATTTATTTATCGTAATTTGTATTGATATCAGTAAGGGCGTAAGTTTTCTCAATTGAATTGTCTCATATTTTTCATGTCGGTTACTTTTATAGCCAACTATACGGTATGGGGTTTTCTCATTGTTGAAAGCCGTACGGTTGCCTATAATTGCTTATATCCACTTCATTTGAACTTTATTGGATAGTTGTCTCATTGGCAATCATACCACATCTCCTTATTTTTATTTTAAAATACTGATGTACAGCCAAGGAACACCCATCAGTAAGGCAAATAACCAATGGAACTAGTGCGTCCAGAATCCTAACTTATTTCAATGCATGTACATGTATTTATTTTAATGTCGCCAATCAGGTTCGGAACGACTCTGTATTTATTTTACATTCTCGTGCAGCTACATGCATACATCTGTAAGTAAAAGTTATGAATATATACCAGTACCCTTAACCTTCACTTTATTTTCGTGAAATCAAACCAAAACAAATATCGGATAAGATGTAGTCAGGTATCATGACTCTCTTTTCAACAGTATCCAATTTGCACGAAACAGAGATTTGGCTAGGATCCCAGACTATTGAGATAATTGCTGCCAATGTGTATGCCCGTAGAGGAAATCGATATGGATGTATCGTATATCGAGTGAAAATGTTTGCCTTCTTTTAAAAGAAGCACCCCCCCCTAAAAAATTAGCATTCTTTGATCATAGTCCCCTATCCGTTAAAAATCCGTTGTACTGAAACAAAATGACTAAAAAGAGCGGAAAACTTATTACTTGCGTGCATGTCATAAGTCTACGGACCATTACTATATACCAAATATCAAATCATTGTCGTCAAGAATGACGAAAAAAAAGTGCTGAAAACTGATTACTTGCTTGAATTCCAAGTCCAAAGACCGTAAATTTGCATAAAATCATCAAACCGGAATAAAATTCAAACTTGGTCAGTACCTATATACCACATTTTAAATCAATATCTTCAAGCACAAAAAACAAGTGTGGAAAACTGATTTGCTAGACTGACGTCGGACGGACAGACAGACAGATGGACGGACAGAGTGCAAACCTAAAGTCTCCTTCGGCTTTGCGGGAAGGGGATTAATAATTCACACACATTGTCAAATTGATGAACCTCCTCTTACCAATCATTTATCTCCTTTCAAATTCATGAACATTTTTTATAGAAAATTTGATTCATTGTACGAACAGTAAAATGTCCATCATTTTGTAGTTGATGATCTAAAATTAAGAAAATCTTTGAAAAAGTAAAAAAGCTTTGGTATATCAATGTTAACACCGTGTTACAATTCATGCAGATGATTCAAACAAATTTGACTTTTTGAAAGAAATGTTAATCAACAATCAAAGCCAGATTGTCCGAAGTGTACACTCTCTTCCTATACACGACTGTCAATCAGTAAATCGAGAACAATATTCGTCAACAAAATATGTTAAGGAGGTCAGATATTGCGATCTGATAGTGAAAGATCTAATATCGAACGGTGAATGCAATTAGTCTAAGAAACAGTTCAACTTCAAAATCTGTGTAAAACTGTTGCATTATCAAAACGAGGAACAAATAAATAATAATAAACGTGTCTGTCTAAACGATTATTATTCCTCAATAACAATGCGCACATTAGTAGTAAAACAAGGCAGTATGTTTGAAGAAAACATAAAAAATAACGCATAACCTTGCGAATTAACATAAATAAACACGGTTTAGTATCAATAAAATTTCAATGCATCATGCTACATATGAAACTAAATATTTAGTGCGTCTTATAGTACAAATAATTAAAGCTGACAACTGACCAATGAATATTCGGCACAAGAACTGTTCCATACATTTGTATGTTTGTGTTTTTAATCTGTGCAAGCACCGAAAGACAAGCGTAAGACTACAAGAAAACAGTAAGTAAATATTTTCCAGAACTAAATAGCATCTCAGAAAAATTGCAATAAAAAAACCTAGATGTATAAGGTTTCCCAGCACATTTAGAAACATGAACAATGAGGTTTTTCTCGTTTGAATTGTTTTACATTTGTCGTTTCGTGGTCTTCTATAGCTGACTATGCGGTATGGGCTTTGCTCATTGTTGAAGACCGTATGGTGACCTATAGTTGATAATTTCTGTGTCATTTGGTCTCTTGTGAAGAGTTGTCTCATTGGCAATCATACCACATCTTCTTTTTTATATGTAACCTTTTAAGGATCAAGTAATTATAAGGTTGAGTGACTCGCTTTTAATGTGTTTATACGAGTTATTTAGCGAGATCGATCGTTCATAGAAAAGCGATGCACGTGTATTGGCTATTTGGGATGTATAAAGACACATACACGTCCGGATGGAACGAAAAGTTCTATTTAACTTTTGTGTTGAGTGAACTTTGAGAATAATTAGTGCATTTTAAGTTTAAGAAGGTTACAAACTTTCCTTGATTTTGATGGGCACGCTTTTTGTTATTGAAGAAGGTGTCAAAATTAATGAAATGACAAATCGTATTGGTCAATCAAATCGTGATGGCGATCGTAAAACTTATATGTCGATTTCAGTCGTTTTCCTTCATAAATCGGAAACCTGTTGGTCAGGTTTTTGTCTAAAGAGCACATTGGTTATTCATTTTATCCTTTCATTATAATGAACCTTAAAAATCAAATATTTAAAATATTTTTTTTATTGAGATGAAGCAATCATCCATGTAGGATGAAATACTATATAGATTCTTAAATGAGACTGGTTGTGTAATTTCTTACTTGATATTCAGTGGCAAATATTTCATGCAAATTCACGGTCAGAATAATTCGAATACGTAAGCATTAAAAAGTTGTTCGACGGGGATCAAACGGTAAACAAGAAATATTTTGAAGAAGATTGCAGTATGAAATAGGAATAAAGTATGCATTACAAGAATAAAGTTGACAACGAAACGTATCTTTTGGGAGCAAAAGAAGCAGACGAATTTGAGGTAGAAGTGATGAACACAATGCATTTTAATTTAATTTTGATTATACCTTTGAAATTGTAAAATTAAATTATGATGACATTTTGCTAACCGTTTTTTCTTCTCTATCTGATAAAGGTCCCTTGAATATGTATGTAGTCATGCCCGATTAAGTTCTAATAAATAGAACATATATTTAAAAATCTACTCCAGGCCAATAACCTCGGGGTATACTAAGTAAACAAAAATGATCTTTTATGAAAAAGGATCGTTCAAGGTGACATTATGTTTCGTTGAAAAACAATAAAAACTGCACGAAAAGGTTTGTAAGATAGGAGTTAATGGGTTTTTTTGTTGTTGTTTTTTTTTTAAAGAGAGCTGGGGATTCTTGATTTTATTTATATTAATATACAACTACATTATTTT